CGTGAAGCGCTTCGAAGACATGATACGGGGGCTACCGCAAACGCAAGGATTGTTATTATTATATTGGAGGGGAGCAGCTTATAAGAGAAGATGGGGGGGGGTGGGGGAAGAAAGACAAAGGAAAAAATTAGGCGGAGGACAGGAGATGGTGCGAGATTTTGCCTTTTTGCTCTCCGGTGTGTAGTGGGGTGCGGGAGCTGGTGGAGCGGAGTGGGTTGGGGGGGGGGGGGGAGAGGGACAGGAGGGGAAGGGTCCCCAGTGCCTCCAGTGCTAATTAACGATGTCAGTTTCCGCTGAGGAGCTTGTGAGTTTCAGTTCGTTGACAGACAGTCTGTGCTCCCTCTAACCTGCCAAGTCCTGCGGAGTCGCTGACAGGCAGCGCTGGGAGCAGTCTGGCAGGGAGAGACGGCTGAGTGGAGTAGAGATCTCTCGCCCGGGAGTGATCTGTGGAGCGGAGCAGGCTCAAGGGCGAACAGCAGCCACCCAGTCACTACACGTGCATCCTGTGAAGCGCTTTGAGACGTCTCGACGACGTGATAAGGCGCCGTATCGAATGCAAGGATTATTATTACTATATTCCCTCCCCCCACCCCTCCACACACACGCGCGCGCGCGCACAACTCTTTCTCTCTGCCTCCCTCCCTCTCTCTCTCTCTCGCTCAATCTATGGACAATTGCTGAGACACAGTTACTTGGTGCCAATCTCACAAGACAGGTTGGTGCAGTGGAAACTGGCTGGTAGTTCGCTGGGCGCATCTGTGCCTCCTTGTTGAGAGCCAGGAGAGTGAGGAAACCATTACACAGCCCATCTGTTTGGGGCTGGAGTTGATCGCGGGCACTGGGCCACAAAAGGGAATTGTCTTACAGCAAATTCAAAATAAATGTTACCTCCCCTGAGCCCCAGACCCGATTCACGACATCTGAAAACACTAAAAGCTCCATTTAAAACCTCCTTCGGTCAGCGATTAAAACACCCGTACGCTTTTGTATGTTCCATTTTCTTTTCGCCACCGAGCTCGGAAGGGGGACACTCGCCTGGGAACAACACAAGCAGAGTGTGCGTTACGCAGGTCTCCAGGCTCTGAAATCGGACGCTGGTATGTTTTCCGCGCTGGAACGAGGGATGGAAAAAAAATTCCTGAGAGAAATGAAAGCATTTGCTCGAACAGGCTGAGCCGGTAGAGTGACAACACTACACACCTCACCTCACCTCACCTCACAGGTGAGGCTCCAATGCAGCGATGGGTGGTGTGCGTTGCATTGTCGGAGACGCTGTCCTTTGGATGAGACGTTAAAGCTCTCTCCCCGTCTGCCTGTTCAGGTGGGAACGGTAATGATTCCGCGGAGCTATTCGAAAAGAGAAGGGAGTTTCTCTCTCTCTCTCTCTCCCCCGGTGTCCTGGCCAACAATCCCCTCAAATAAAATTGGCCGCGGGTTTCATGGCTGTTCGCAAATGGCTGCCGCGTTCCTCCGGCACAATACGCAATCAATTGACTTTACGGCGCATCCTGCGAAGCGACTTGATAAGGCGCTGTATCAAATACAAGGATTATTATTATATTCCCTGTGGTGTGCTCCTCATCTCAGCCCCTTAAGAGGAGTTGAGGACGGTGTGTGTGTGTGTGTGTGAGGGGGTGGGGAGGAGAAATCTTGTTGGAAGGTAGTGTGAGGGGACGGGGGATGATGGTAAGTCAGTCTGCGTTAGCTGAGCCAAATGGAATTAGGAGAAGATCAGAGAGAGAGAGAGAGAGAGAGAGGTGCTAGCATATTAATTGGCTGCAAAGCGCAAATACCATCCATTTGCCGTCTTCAAACACCTCCGTCTAAAAGGTCTTTGTGCAAATGGGCTTCTCTGGTCAATTAACAGAGTTTTTAACTTTGAAAAGGTCAGCGTAACTGTACGTCACGTCGTAAAATCAAGGTGTTTGGGTGCTGTTAAGTAACACTTCATTACAGCGTCATTAAGGGCCACGTTGCCGTTTCTCTTAAAACGCCCTTCATCTCTTAGCCTCTGAAGTTGTGAACTTCCCAGCGGAAAACCTGTGCAGTTTTACACAGTCCCGTTATGTTTTTTTTTTGGTCTTGACGCCCGTGGAAACCCCATGCTTGGGAGTCTCCAAACCAGAGAGAGAGAGAGAGAGAGAGAGTTCCACACATGTCTGCCACCTCCGCCTGGGCATTTCTGTGGGTCTGTGATACTCTCGGGGGAAAAAAAAACTAAACCTAAAAGCCATTTGTGTGTATTCCCTCCATAACATCCATCCAGTTGGAAGCTCTTTTCAAAGAGCCGGCACAGGCACAATGGGCCGAATGGCCTCCTTCTGTGCTGTATACTTCTATGAGTCTCTCTCTCTCTCTCTGGAACGACACACTTTTGCATCACTGAGCCCATCACTCAGACACTAAGTACATCACTCACACACTTATGTGCCCATCACTGAGCACAAGGTGCTGCACTGAAGAAAGACGTTGCGTGGCAGATACCCGTTTTGCTCTCGCTGAATATTAATGGTAAATAACAGATGGGTTTGGGGGTGGGAATCTGAAGCCAAGTTGCATCCTCAATATTGCAACTCCCCCCCCACCCCCCACCCAGCTGGAATGGTGCGTGCCTGCGGTGGAGGAGAGTGTATGTGTGTGGTGGTGGGTGGGTGGGTGAGGGGCGGGCGGGAGTATGTGTGGTGGTGGGGGGGGTGGGGGTCAGGCTTGGCTCAGGGCACAGTGCCACCCAGTCAATTGCCCAGCCAACGCTCTCCGTCAAGCTTCACACACCAATAATGGCCCCTTGTGGTGGTTGAGGCGTCAGCTGGCATTGGGTAGTGTGTGTGTGCGTGTGGGGGGAGAGAGAGAGAGAGAGAGAGGGGGAGAGTCAGGGAATGAAACCACCCTCTGACAATGGCAGCAGGTACAGTGGATGCTTTGAGGAGGTCCTTCCTTTCTTGGCCACTTCCTGCCGATACTTTGCTCCTTTGACGTCCCCGTTCCTCTGAGTGGTGTGGCTTTCAGTTCAGCTGCTTTATATTCCAGGCCTCAGCCCAGTAGGACCGCGTGAGGTCTCTCATCCTTTGTGTGGACACACTGCTGCCTTGTTTCCCGCACTGGTTGGGGGGTGGGGGTGAAAAGCAACCCGACACATCTCTCTCTCTCTCTCGACGGCCAGAATCACCGGGAGAAACTCCCTTCTCTCCTCATTTAGTGTCTCTCTCGTGTCATTTCTTTCCTCAACGTCCACCTGACCAGGGCAAAGGCAGGTGACATCCCAGAGCAGGTGGCACGACACCAGCGCGGGGGGGGGGGGGGGGGGGGGGCGGTGTAGGCATGTTCGAAGAGGAAGGTCTTCAGGCATGACCTAAAGTTGGGGAAGGATAGTGTGATAGTGATAGGGTATGTGTTTAGAGTGAGAGACAGACATCACTGAGATTATTCAAGACCGGATGAACAGAGTAGCTCTGTGCTTTGTTGAGGGGATGTCAAGGCTTTAATGAGTTGTAGAAGTTATTGAGAAGAGTTTTTTTTTTGAGAGATCAGTGCAAACGCCAACTCCAGAGGCGACTGTGCTCACCACAAGCCTCCGGTTTCGCGTCAGCTCACACAGACGCTTGCTGATAAACTGCAACCCATTATTACGTGCGCTCACTGTGGGGCGACTCCTGATCAACCCACGATACCTTGGGATGGCCGCAAATTTGTTGCCCGCAAATAGTTTGGGGGCAAACTCCCAAGCTCCAAGCTTGTTCAGGGACTGAAAGCCGGAGGAGGGCACTTTGAGGGCAATTGTGAAAGCGCAGCCCGGCACATCTGGCTTACAGACAGCGATTTCTACAGTCAGTTACCAATGTCAATTAGTGAGCAATAAAGCTAGTCTCTCACGCTGGCGGCATCTCAGTTCATGTGTTTAACGAGGCTGTGGGCTAGCGCGAGAGGCTGTGGGCTAGCGCGAGAGGCTGTGGGCTAGCGCGAGAGGCGGTGGGCTAGTGTGAGAGGCGGTGGGAAGAGAGAGAGAGAGAAAATAGGAGGGGAGGGAAAGGAGGGGGAAATAAGAGAAAAGCGCAGAGAAAACGAATAGAAGTTATAGCTGAAGTTATTGTTTAAAAATTTGATGCCGGTTTTCGCCGCGACACGGAGCGTTGGCAGCTACAATCCTGATGGTAACCGGCCGGCAACCGGGAATCTCCGCGGTTTAGTGAGAGAATCCCACGAGGAAGTCAATTTTTTTTCCCACCCGGTGAGACTCAGTCAACGCTCCGTTGGGCGGGTGGGGGGTGGGGGTGGTGGGAGAGCCGTCACACTCTCTCAATCACCCTCACGCCTGCGATGGGCGGGATAACAATTCCGCTCACCTTTACTCTACGTCCATCTCCTGCCTTCCTTCATTAAGCACATTTAGCCAGGGTTTGGTTAGCGGATCCCTGTCAACGTGCGTCGGTGGGGGTGGGGGGGGGGGGGAGAGAGTGCGTGGCCCTGGCAGGGTGGTGGTGGGAGAGAGAGAGAGAGTGTGTGTGTGGGTGGGGGGGATCACGAGAGAACAGAAGGCGGACGAAGAGGAAGGAATAGGCGCATAAAAAATTCTGACTGGGATTCCGTGCCAGATAAATTCATGTGCCTCAGCTCCAGCAGTCTGACATGACAGTCTGTGAATTTTATTTGCATAATTTCTCATTTATGAGTGAAATTCAGGCAGAGACCGAACAGCAGCTGCTCCCCTCCCTACCCCCTCCCTCGCTCCCTGCTCCAACCAACCCGTCTGAACCCGAACACAGACCTGCACCACATTCGTGTGGTTTTTCAAGCAACAGCAACTTGTACTTTGATACGCTTCCCCTCCGTGGAGGGCAACACCGCAGCCAAATTTTTGGGACACCGCTGTGGGCAACTGACTGCCGCGTTTCACCTGCAAAAATACCGCAGTCGACTCACGCCGACGCCTTATATTCTGTGAAGCGCTTCGAGATGTCCCGACGACGTAATAACAATAATGATAACTCAGTGGTTCAATACATCCCTTTAATCTGCAGTGTTAATGGCAAAGAAAATATACAAAATTATACTTTTTTTTAATAGATATTTCATACCTTTGTACAAACCTTTAACGACAATGCGTGTGTGTGTGTATATATATATATATATACACACACACATACACGACACAGAGCAGGCAAACCAGTCTCTGGCACAACCCTCTCCAGTTCGTTGCTTTGTAGCCTCCCTGTGCTGTAAGACGCTACCACAAGACCGTGCTTTTTCACACCGACGTCCTAATTTCTTATACGTCAGAGCAGCTCAATCAATTGGTCGTCAGTATTGCTGCCCCTCTTGCCCTGCGGCAGCAATAATAATAATCCTTGCATTCGCCGTCAAGTGAGCTGACTGCGTATTTCGTGCGAAACGCGGCAGCCAATTGCGCACGGAACAACGACCAATTGATTGTGAGCAGCTCCGTACAAGATCAGTCGGTGCGAGCAGAGCCCTAGGGCGCAGAAGATGTACCATAGGGCAGGTTGGCACTGGAAACTGCAACACTCTTCCCCCCTCACCCCCACCCCATCACCCCCCCATTTCGCTCAGCCCCAACCAGGCAAGAAAGATTGCAGTCTGCAGTCGAGCCTCAAATCCATCGTGGTATGAAAAGCCACTAAATTTTCCATTACTGCGGAGTCTCGGAAAACTGTCTACTGTGTGGAGAAATCGTGCCGGTGTGTGTGTGTGTGCGCGTGGCATCAGCAGATATCACAGGCCACATCTCAGCCCGGGCACAGAGCCTGGGTTTAATTCTGCGGCACATCAAGGTTTTTTTTTTGTTAAAAGATTTGCGAAGGAGACGCATCGAGAGCAGAGAAGCTGCAGTTTTCTCCCGAGTTCAGCAGAAAAACGTCAGGAAAACTCTACGGTCAGGGAAAGCGTTGAGACAGTGACATGGCAAGCTGGAGATCGAACTGGAGAGAGGCGTGCACACGTGTGTGTGTGCACACGCACATACTCCAAACGTGCATTTTCCTTTTCGCAGTCCTCTTGTACCAGTAACTGACTGAGAACTGCTGAGTGCAATTAACCGCGGGCTGCAGGATCAGCTGTGCTCACTGAGAGAAGCGTACAGTGCTGCAATCTACTCCACACACATTATAGTGCCCTTCCCTCCCTCCCACGGCTGCACTTTATCACTTAAGCACATGAGGTATCAGCTGGTGAGGAGGAGGAGGAGGGGGGAGGGTGGGGGGGGAGGGAGGAGGTGAGTGGGAGAGGGATGGATCTCGTACATACACCATCATCACAGAAAGGCACGCGGCATTAACAGGCCCCCGACCCAACACTCCCGTCAGGCGGCAGACATTTGCAAGGAAAGTGCGTTCAATTAATCGCTGCTTTTAAAAATAAAGTCGGGAACTCTGCTCTTCTGAACAACAGGGACAGGAAGGGTCACCCACAGAGGAAATCCGGATCAGCAAAATAAAACAGTGAATGGATTTTTCCTCGCGCCCGTCGGGTCTTTATTCGATGAGAATTTCCACGGGCGTTTTCTCTCTCTCTCTCCCCTGCGCCCCCCCCCCACCACGCCCTCACCGCACACCCAGCGATTGCTTTCAGCGCTCTATCCGGCATGTATGTCTCTCTCTCTCTCTCTTTCTCTCTCTGGCCCGTGGATAATCCGGTGTCTCTCGCGGGGCATCAGCGCGGAGAGCCGAGCAGGTAAGCTTCCAGCGGATGACAGCAATAACAAGCCACGCTGTCCAAGACCCACTCCCGGGTCACCACCGCAGCACTGAACCTGCGCTCCATCCCTGCAACACAAGCGTCGGGTAATTGGTTGTGTTTCCGGTTCTCATCTTTCACTCATAAGCTAAATTTGTCACAACAGAAAGCTTCTGCCCAGCTGCTACCCACCGGGGCTCTGGCTCTGGTCTGCAAACATTAATTAAGATCAATTGTCTTGAATTATAGAACCTTACAGCACAGAAGGAGGCCATTCGACCCTTCGTGCCTGCGCCTGCTCTTTGAAAGAACCACCAACTTGGCTCACTCCCGCCCTCTCACCCCATAGCTCTGCACATTTCTCTTTTTTTTTAAAAAGAGATTACGGAATCTGCTTCCACCATCCTTTCAGGCAGTGCATTCCAGACCGTAATAGCTCTCCGAGTCAAAACACATACCCACCAGGTCCCCACACGCGCACACGGGTAATTAATAGTAATAATAATAATAAGTGAAGTAATTATGATGAAGACATGTCAAGAAGGAACCTTAGAAAGTCAGGTCAGTTGCCAACAGTTTTTACTCATCTCCAACACGTGCTTCAAATACTCTAAACAAACAGCGGAGGAGACCAGATAGCACACAGACTCACCTCTATAGTCGGTGCTTGCTGGGTTAGCGTCAGGCTGCACCACCACCACAGACACTCGGCCCTGCACAGACAAACCAGGTGGTTAGGTTGCTCTGGCAGACAGCAGCCAGCACAACTCTGCCTCTAAAGCTCACTAGACCAAGAGAGGAATAACAATAACTTGCACAGCGCCTTTCACGCCAGGAGGACGTCCCAGGGCGCTGGACAGTCGAGGATTTGCACCCGAGCTGGGGGTTGGGGTCAGGAGGGTTGGAGGACAGGGAGGGTGTGGGTAGGAGGGTGACCAAAGGCGCGGGCGAAGAGGAGGGTCTCAAGATGGGCCGGTGAAGGAGGTAAGGGAGGGAGCGAGGTGAAGGGACTGTGGGATGGAGTTCCAAAGGATGGAGGCAGAGAGGCTGAAGGCCCGACCGCCGATGGTAGGAAGGGACATTTCTTTTTGTATGGTAACATTCCCCGAACAAGACGACACTTGTCGTTCAAGTGACTAATAACAGTACCTCTTGATTTGGGGTAATAAATACAGTGGGTTCAGGGTTGATCCTGCAGGCAGAAACTGGCTGGAAGCAGAGGCAGCACCTCACAGCACGTACATGGATAAGGGGAGGAACACGTGTGCAGAAATCTCCCTTCGGCACATAACTAGCCTCGCTCACATCAATCTGCTCTCTCATGTGTAACATAATGTACAATTACATTCTCCTACATCCGCCCAGGACAAGGGAGCAATAAAGCGAGAGAGAAACATGCAACAATTTTAATGTTTAAATCTGCCAACACAAACCCTGAAATATCCTGACACCATCCCTCCAGATAATGTGTTCTCATTATCCCTGAAGCGAAAAAGTTAAGTAAGAGACTGAAGGGTCAGAGAACTTTACACAGCATGTTGGTGGGGGGGTAGGGGTGTGGGGGGATGTCACAATACTACTTAAAGGGGAAGGACTGTTTGTTACAACACCCCAGCATTTGCAAATATTCACTCCAGTGCAGTATTGGGGGATTGTTTGAGATAGGAACAGGTCAATCAACACCTCGAGCCTGTCCCGCCATTCTATAAGATCATGGCTAATCTGTACCTCAACTCTGATTACCCACTCTTGTCCCAAATCCCTTGATACCCTTTGATCTAACAAATAGCTATCCGTCTTGGTCTTGAAAACGAAAGATGCCGTCTCTCAGAAGGGGTTCTAAAGGCAAGGCACGTTAACGTTAAGGTACTTACGGGGTTGTAGGTGAATAAATAAGGTTCCTTAGCGATGGAGGCACCGCAGAGATCCACCATCCACTCCAGCTGATCTGCAGAGGTAACAATAAGCTTTACTGGCGACGGGGTCTATCTAGCAAGACGTTACCTTACTGATGTCAAGACTGGGCTTGTAAGCCTCAGCTGTAATCAGAACCTAATTTGTTCAGCTTGAATTGCGATCAATTAGTTTTGCTTGAATCTGAATCTTGATCGGACTATTACTCGCTGCTCTCAGCCTGTGTGTGGGTTGCAATTGATCCATTTCCCTGAGTTGGGAAGGGTGGGTGTGGAGGGGAGGGAGAGGGAAGTCAGCCAGGGTTTGGCTGACTTGCCAAAGGTTTTGCCCTGCCCGGGAATCGAACCCAGATCCTCTCGCTTGCGAGCGCTCTAACCACTAAGCTACAGGACTCCACAGGCTGACCACAACCTCCCAGTTGAAAAGTTAATCTGTAATACATCTAGCCTCCCCCTCCCTCCCTCCCCAGAAGGATGCCTTGGATCGTGAAAGCTTGGTGTACCCGAACAAGTCATTATTCTGTTTTTTTATTAATGCTGGCGAGTAAGTCCCTGGGGGGTGGGGGGGGGGCTACCAAAGTCGCTTCAGATTCCCATTAACTTGTGTGTGGTCTCCACACAGGGCAGGCAGCTTTGTGCAGAGCGTTGAGGTATGTGGGAACAAGGCAAAGAATACCCAGGAGAGGAGCAATACTCATTACAAGGCATCGCCTTTGAAGTTTCGATGGGAATAAGCAAAACGACCCTTGGCCTTTTCAGTTGAGGGAGCTCAGCGTCAGCTAAACAACAAAGGACAGTGGAATACCGCAGAGCGCCGGGTCACACATGCACTTGACCAGCCAGTGTGCAGGGAGCGAGTGCACTGTGCTCAACACCTCCCATTAATCCACAGTTGGGATGAAGAGCGTCCGGAAAAGTGCGGAAACGATGGGAAAAATAGAAGTGCGCGCGTGCGGTGTGTGTGTGTGTGTGTGGAAAGGTCTGAGTTTATCTGCTGCAAGTCGTGCTTGGATGTGGTGCTTTTAGCCAAAATGGCAGAGAGAGAGAGAGAGACACAGAGAGAGAGAAACGAAAATCTATATTTTTGGGAGCGGTGACATACATGGCCAGAACAAGCAAATATTTGCCTATTTGCCAACAGGGTCACACACACACACAGACACGAGGCGAACGATAATTATCTGGAGGATTGTTGGGACGTTCTCCTGATGTGAAAGGCGCTATACAAATGTAACTTGTTGTTGTTGTTGTTGAGGCAGAACACCAGGAGAATCATTCCTTAAATCTGTCTGTTTGTCTCCCTCCGTCTTTCTCTCTGTCTCCCTCTTTCTGAGTGTGTGTCTCTCTCTCTCTATCTCTCACTATCTAATGCAGTTTCCTACCCCCCAAAGGACTGTGACGTGATTACTGATGGTTTATGAAGTGACTGGAAAATTAGTCAATGGAGGCTGAAACCAAATCAACGGGCTGAGCCACTGCTCATCACAGGTCAACGTTGCCACAGAACACAAAGCACAAGAGAAACATAAATTGGGATACAAGTGAGATCGGTGAATTGACTCCTAAAAATCCAATTGAATTGAGTTTCACCCTGACTATATATACAAGGCATTCCCCCCGCAAGCAGACACTCCTTTCACAGAAGACAACAGGTCACCACAACACCAGGAAATTGGCGAATACCATCTTAATCTTTGGCAATGTTACGTTTCTTATCCCGTTTCCAAAAAAAAAATCAAACAAACGAGTAATCTGAGAGTTTCTTTCATTTGGAGAGTTCTGAAATTCAGTTCCAATTAGGCTACCAAGTACTGGGTGTGTGAGGGGGGGGGGGTGGTGGGAAAGGTTTGAGGAAGGCAGATAAGTTTGCTTTTCTAATGAGATAATCTTAGCAGCTATCGTGAAACAAACAATGGCCCAAGCTCACAATCATTGGCCTTGCCCAGAGCCCCGGTGTTGCTGTTTAATCAAGGACGGATATTAACTGCATTTGGAGAAGAGATTGAGTTTCGCAGAGAAGATTGAGGATTTGCTCCTCTTTTCTTATGCTGTCCCTTTGACATGACTGTTCTGGGTAGGTTGCACGTATGGCTGCTGACATGAGGCCATCCAGGGCTGGGGCAATACAGGAGGGGAAAATCCCCCCACCCCCACCACCAGCAACAAGTAAACAACAACAACTGACATTTACACAGAGCCTTTCACAGCGCCCCATCCCAAGGCACTGGACAGTCAGGGATTTGGGCCCGAGCTGCTGGTTGGTATCAGGAGGGGTGGAGGACAGGGGTGGGGGGTGGTGACCGAAAGAAAGTACGGTCGAAGAAGAGGGTCTTGAGTCGTACCTTGAAGGAGGCAAGGGAGGGGGCAAGGCAAAGGGACTGTGGGATGGAGGGATTTTTCTTGGAAGGGATTATTACCCTCGGAAAAGCGACTGACAACCAGGTTCCTACTTACTGCCGAGTAAACAGAGGCGTGTGGAGTAAGCAAACTTGCCTAAGGTCTCACTCTGCCCGGGAAATGATCCCAGGTCCTCTCGCTTGCGAGGCGAGCGTTTTAACCACTGAGCTACAGGAACGCCACACTGTTCCAATATAACAAATTGAGTTGAAGAGGAGAACATTTCCTGTGGAACTTTCTCACTTCTTTAATGAACAGCACAAATCAGAGCCAGCAATCTCGCGGCACTGTGCAGAGCATCGATCTGACAGCAGCTGGATGTGTAATGACTTGAATGATCTCGCTCTGCACGGTCCAGATATGCCGGAGTTGCAGACATCTCTATACGCTGATCAATCCACGTTTCCACACGCCTTTCCTGCCAGAAACTTGCTAATGGATAACATTCACCAGAAGAAGTTTAACGTGCTGCTGGGTCTGACTGCTCAACCAGCCGAGGAGGAGTTTGACAAGTGAAATCTCCTTACCTTTGCTCATCCCGGTAAATGAGCCCCAACAGCAAACCTCGTAATCTGTGAGCAGGAGCTGGAACACAGAACCGTCTGTTATCCATTAGCCAAGGCCCCTACCACAATTCTGCTGATTATAGCAACATATGTAGGTGCGCAGGCAGGATCTTAACCAGGTAAAACAGTGATACTTCTGCAACTCAGCCATTCGTTTCGCCCACAAAATACATCACGTCAATTCACTTTACGGTATAGTCTGTGAAGCGCTTTGAGGCGTCTCGAAGACACGATCAAATGCGAGGATTCTGAATAACTTCGCCGGCAATAATGGTGAAGGAGGTTTAAAATACCGGTGACGTGGACGGTTTATTCTTTGCTAAAGCGATGCCGAGAGTTCCGAGGAGCCCAGACAGATGCTGCGGAGCAATGTTTCGCTGTATGTACGGCAGGGTGCCGAGAGCACTAGAATCTTACTTGTCCATTGGAGGTTTGCCTGGCTTTTCTGGGACCCTGGTGGTTTCTTCCATTGATCACATCGCCTCGCACCTCAAACTCGCTCTGCATCATTTCACAACAAACAGCGTTATGGCAACACAAAGCTCCAGGAGCTTCCTACAATCCTCTCCCTGTACACCACACCAGGGGCCGGGTAGATTTGTAACATCCCCGGCTGTCTCAACCACAGGAATATGGGATCTCATTCGAAATCTTAAAAAAGAAAAAAAAAAAAAAAAACGGGCGGAAGTGGGTGGTGAGGTGGACGGGAATGCTCATTAAAAACTAGGCTAAATGGGACGGGATGAGACTGCTTCAATCCTGGTGGGAATTGGTTTGGACAGTTTAGTGAGCATCCAGCTGGCCTAGTCACCCTGAACACAGAGATAGCTGGTGGGCGTAAGGCAAAGGTCAGGGGTTCCTGCTCCTGAGCACTCTCCAGTTAGATTTTCTCAGAACGCACGTGCAAGCACACATAAGTCACATAACCTGCTCCCACACTTTGGTCACTCAGTCAAAGTTACAACAACAAATTACATTTGTACAGTGCCTTTACCAGAGGGGACCCAGCACCAGCAAAGATCCGAGTATTTAAGTAAAACAGTAAGTAGACGATTCTTATTGAAAGGCAATATTCAACACTGTACTGTTTAAAGAAACACATACCAGAGATCAAATGAAGAAAAAAAAAATGCAGGGTTGCTATCCGTCTGAATAGCTGTGTAAACAGGAGCTTTCGGGATTATTCATGAGAGAATAATGCCCAGTTTCGTGTTGTCCAAAATCCATGAAGCGATTTGCCCCCCGGGCATCTTTACCATCAAACATTAACACGTTCTGTAAAAATCAGCCTTACCTCCTCAATTATCCTGCCTTCTTTGAAACACTCCAATATCCCTGGAAAGGCAGTAATAAATCGATTACAATCAATCTGCTAGCCAAAGTTAAGGCTACCCTCCACTCTCCCGTGGGGCCGTCAAGAAGTGGTCCCACCAAACATTCGCGCTAGTCTGGGGCCGAGTCTGTTTTAAAATCAATGCTTTGCTACCAATAGCCATCGAGCGGTGATAAGAACGCAAGGATCTGCTGGCGAAAGACCACCGAGGTCCATCCGGTTTGCCTTCCACCATCCTGGCAGTCGCTTGCACGTATTGTAACCCAAACTATAGATCGGATCCCGGGATATTAATAGGAACGTTTATGCTGTGGCCGTGAATCAAGAAATAATCAACCAAGAAATTGTATTTGGTTGGTCGACCCAAAAGGTTGGCCGTTGCTGATCTAATATGTGCTTTTCCCACTTTAGCAAAGTTAACACCGTTACATTATCTTCCACAGATTAATTAGGCTTTCTTCCTGGTTGAGTTGGTGTGTTAATACAATCATCAAGTGCGGTTCATTCCATCACCCTTCACTTACACTGATAACTGATTACCCATCTCCTCCCAGCTATTCCAAGGAAGTATTTCAGGGTCCTCTCACAGACGAGCGAGGTGCCTGAAATGCAAATCAGGAAACTCGTCAGTTTACGATTGCGCTTCTGCTTTGCACAACCGTCTGCTCCAGGTCGGCACGCTCCCAGCACCCCGGGACGTCCTCCCGACGGGAAAGGCGCTCTGTGAGTGGAACTCGTTGCCTTTGCTAAGACGGTGCAAGTAGATTTTAGCAGCAATGTGCCACTTTTTCAAAAATATATAAACGTACAGGCTAGCTTACGGATCCATCGCAGGGTTCCTGCAGTGAACGTCAAGAAGCTGATTGCCTGCGGGGTGGTTGGATGTTTAGAAGCAACTGACAAGACGTACGAGCGAAAAATGTGACTTGTTCAATGTCAACTGAACGCTCGAAACTAACACAGTGGAAAAGTGCAATCCAAGGCACGTTCTCAAGCAGACTGAAGATTAACGACTATTTAGATATCGAGCAGCGTTCTGCTGGTGCTCTGGCCAATATCCTGTCCTCATCCAAATGAGCCGGTGTTTGTCTTACTGGGGCTTGCCAGCGCAGATTGGCTAATGTATTCGCTTACAAAGCTTCACAGTGAATGCATTATGTGAGGTGCTTTAGCAAGTACAGAGGCTTCAGGGCTGCTTCAGAGATATTTTCGCACAAGAAGACGCTACATTACGTTTTTCCAGGGGTAATAATCCCTTCAAAAAAGAATAACAATTTGGTCACTGAATCCACGACTGTTTGTGGTGACGCTGCTGTGCGCAATTGGCTGCTGCGTTTCGCCCACAAATATACAGTCAATTCACTTTACAGTATATCTTGCATCAAATGCAAGGATTATTATTACTATTAAATGCAATACTATTAATTGATGCATGTTGAGGTCAGAGGGCAGGATTGATGCCTCAAGGAAGGGTAGGTTGGATATTTTAATAGACCAAAGCACCTGCTTTATCTAAACCCGTCTTGTGATACGTATTGGTGAACGGAAACCTTTCCCCCCACCCCCACCCCATAAGCGTCGTTTTTTTTCCTTGTATCTAACAATTAAAAGTAAAGGCAACCAAAGTGATACTGAACCTGTTCTCATGACCACGTGGGTTGTGCTGGGTAAGAACTGGCTGGTAATGGCACCTCCTGTTTTCTCTGCAAATCTCTGAACCAACAGCTGAAGGTAAAATAAAATAGTTGCTCATTTTACAATGTTAATTCAGTGCTATAATGGCGTTGGCAATGTGTTCAGTGAACAGATAGGCCTTTCTAGTGCCTAATACCCAACAGGTTAACGGAACTGGACTCACTCTACCAGTTGGGTAGCCTCTCGGAGCGCTTAAATACAGTCAAGGGAATACTGGCCCCTCCTTAACACCCAGTAGTCTCTTTCACCCCCCCCACCCCCCCGTAAAACATTAGCGACGACATTAAGACTTTACTAAGATCAGCACTTTCATCTTAAACAGCATATCGTGTGAGAGAGGCGCTTTGAGACGTGACAAGGCGCTGCGTCAAAAACCAAGGATTAGCGTCATCTTTAAAAAAGTGAGTTGCTTGAGAAAATTGGCACGGAGGGAGGGAGAGAGGGAGGGAGGAAGGGGGAGGGAAGAAGCAGGGGCTTTCAGTTTATTTAAAAATAATTTAATTGTGGAAGATAGCCACTGCAACCTGAGCTAGCGGCAGATGCTCTTATCTCACAAATTGCGTCTTTCTTCTTCTCCCCTCCACCCCCAAAAATAGAAGCTGGCAGCAAAAAGTGGTGCACAAGTTTGCAGATAATTACAAATCTTGTTTAGCCGGTCGCGTCGTTCCGAGCCTGACCATTGGTGACATTAGCATACAGAGCTCAGCGCTGCCATGTTGCTGTCGTCGTGTTTTACTATTTCTCTCCTAAAACACTCTCAATCTTTGTGATAACAGTCAGGCACTTCTCAATGGGCAGTCCACATAGCAATTAATCTCTGCCTTTCAGCCTCAAATTTGCCTTGCAGCTTGCCGCATTACCTGTGTGCCACACAAGGACATCACTGTGCGTTTCACACATTTAAATGCATCTGACACCTTAAGAAGAAATGCAGAACTTCCAATTACTTTTACTTTCTAGTCCTGCTTGTACACATCGGGGAGGACTGAATAATAATAATCCTTGCATTTGATATAGCGCTTTTCACGTCTTCTAGATGTCTCAAAGCGCTTGAAGACAACTGAAGGTAACTCAATCACCTTTTTCTCTCTCTCTCTCTCCCCCCCCCCCCACCCCTTTACTACCTTTATCATTGGCTCTTAATGGGGTCTAATTTGCGGTATTTCCTCACAGGCTTCTTTAAGAACTGAAAGTACATCACTCTGGCCCCTCCGAAACACCCCTCCGATGTAATTCAAATCGGCCAGAGTTCCCACTAGTTGACAGGAATTCGTACAGCAGTCCCTTTTGCTGTAATCGTTAAGAAATGTTACATATCAGGGCTCCATTTGTATAAGTTCTCCTTTGGGTGGTCGATCTGAATATCACACCAAATTTCCTACCTCCGCAAGCCTTTCCTAATGCAGTCATATGTGTAGTTCAGCACCAAATGGTACTGCATTCTGATCAATACCACAACATGGCCTTAAGCAAAGAGAATAACTACTCGTCAGTACTATTCCGTCTCTTAAGAGAAAAACAACTGAACATCTTATTTGGTTTCTGTTTCTCTCCCTCTGCAGAATTTTTTTTGCTGAGGAGACTGAGTGAACATGACTTGGAGGAAGGAGTTTGGAGCCTAGGGTACATGGGAGCAGGATTAACATGAACAGCAGAGGCTGAATGAAGCACCTCTGGGTTAATGATCGTATCTTTTAATTCAGCTTCTCACATGGTCAGAGCTGTTAATTCTTTAGTCAGTCAGACAGTAAGTGCCTGACGGCAACAATCTGAAATATTCAGCGTTTAAACCCCAAAAATATCCCAAACAAAACATTGATAAATCTAATCAATACTTTCTCTTCAAGTTCACAGGTTTAGTAGACAATGTGAGGGAGTGCACGAGTGTGAAGAGTGTGTGAGTAAGGGAAAAGAAGATAAATTGGTTTGCGCATCCTTTTGAAATCTAAAATAGAATTGCAATTTAACTCACAATTTCATGTTTATCCAGGCCTGAAGCCACGAAGGACATTTTTCTTTGAGTTGTCATAGCCGGGCTCTTGCTGGTGGCAGAGTCTGCACTTTTGTTGAAGATGGGCGATGACGTGAGGAGGGACCTGCTCTGCTCCAAGCCCTCGGACGAAGCCTCTGGCCTTCCAACCCCGTCCGCTACCTGTGATGTGCAGGCGCTGGCGGCTGTGCCCGGTGCCGGCTGGCACCTCGACGAGGCAGCAAGCAAACTGCCAACGGCTTCTGTCTGTTCTGAACCACAGTCCTTCCCTTTGCCGTTGGACCTCTGCAGCTTTGCAACGCCTCCCAGCTCTTCCTGACCCGCTGTAACAGCGCTCGCTTTAAAAACACAGACCGGGGTTGAGTAACTTATTGCTAAATCCACTAGAAGTCACAAAATACAGTCACTCCACAGTATATTCTTTGAAGCACTTTGAGACGTCTCAACAGCGCGATGAGGCCCTGCATCAAATGCAAGGATTATTATTATTAAAGCTTATTAGAAATCGCACTGTAACATTCTCACCTCTGCTCTCTTGTTGTGGTGGTGTATGAGGAATGCCCACGTCTTCTCCCTGAGAGTTTCTTTCCGATTGGGATCGGCCCAGCGCTCCGGCCACTGTCCAATTTGTCAACGGCATTCTGTTCATCTGCCGTTCGGTGAGAGAAGGGGACACCGCATACTCGGGAGATTCGGGGCTGTCAGATAGGAAGAAAACATGCGTTAGTTATAATGGCAACTCACACATCGCAGCAGAGAAACAATAGGAGAGCGCAGATACTCTCTTTTATCTTTCCCGCCCGTCACTCCCCCAGTAAACTCGGCACACATGCCCATGAAACTGCGAGTGTGTATTTTATCGCCTAGCAGTACAGTACAAACATCCTGCCCCTGTGACAAACAACAAAGCTAGTTAGTTGCACGACTGCGAGACTGAAATGTTGATTTAAAAGCTAGAGAAAATACCCACACGGGTACGATTAAGTATCATCCAATTAAATAAGTCAATATTAGTTTTGGTTTGGAGCGTGCAAATGTAGTGCCCAGCCCCACGAGAGGGTCAGTTTAATGTTTACTATGATCCTGATCGAGTCGATGACAGGACAAGGCCAAAAGGTCAGACTGGTCAATTCTTTAGCACATTCAGGCTATGGGATTGGAGAGCACAGACTCTACTGCTCTTCAAACCCGCCTCGGGCTTAAAACAAAACTAGAAGAAGCTGCCCCTCGGCCCTGACAATGCTGAGTTCACGCTCTCCGCTGATGGCTGCTGGATCCATTATAACCAAGGCTCAATGTGCAGCTTGGTGACGCTCGCAAACAGATATCCTTCAGCAAATCAATTCTCCCAGTAAAACTGGAAGGCACACATTCATCATTCACCCCCTTGTGCTCAGAGAGAGTTTGCTGCAGGATTCACAAAGTCTACAGAGATGTCAGTGGCCTCTCCACAAGCCTGGGAGGTCAAGGGATGTAGTCTAGGAGGGTACCAGGGAGAGAAAGAAACAAATCCAAAATGAGGGGAAAAAGAGCTAGTAGCAGAAACATAGAATTTCACAGCCCAGGAGGCCATTTAACCCATCGTGCTTGGGTGACCCTGAAAGAGCTATTCATTTAGTCCCACTCCCCTGCTCTGTTCTCCTCCCAAACCTTTATAGCTTTGTCTTTAAATGATAACCCCACTGCTAGGATTGAACCTGCGCGAGGAAATCCCATGAAATTTCAAGTTCACACCTTAATCCCTTCAGCCATCACAGCTCTACCAGTCACCGGGTCTACCAGGAAAAGGCAGAGTTTTAAAACAAGCGGGTCTGGATCTTACCATTCATTCTGCTCTCTGTCCCTAAAGATTAGGCTGGTGTCCTGCTGTGACTCTGGCTCGGTGGGAATAGTTTCCGCAACATATTTTGATTCGCTGATCAGATTCGTAGCAGCCTCTGAGAGAGCCTGACCAGCACCTGGTGAGAAAGAATGGGCTTGTAAACATTAACTGTTTTCAACCAACCTTTCAACCTAAAGGAAAGAAGTTGTGTGCCTGGTGAGTGCTAGTTTGGCACCGAGCACCCTTACGTATTCTTGGGCCAAGTACACAATCTGTTCCTACATTGGATTCAAATGTAGAAATCCACAAATTATCAAATATTGATTACCTGGATATGTTAGACCTCTCTCTGCTCTCTCCCCATCACTATTCTCAGTGTGGGTAGATGTGAAGTCAAATGGCTTGTCTATCTTACTCTTCACTAACCAAAAAACAGAGAATAAAGCTGTGGTCTAAAGGCTTTTCTATAGAAACAATATTGAAAAAGATGAACATGTGTATGTGTGTGATGTCTAACTTCAGTTAGATCCAGTTATTTCTAAACAATGCATCATAATTTTCCTCAATCATAATTTACATGCTGGACACCTTTTCTTCCTGTACAGCCTACAAATCAATGTAATCCGCAGTGAAGCTTGTTATTATCCGTCTCTCTGCCCTTTCTGACCAGCTTTGCCAATTAGGGCCTGTGTTGGGCTGTGAAGTGCATCACTAGAGCCACAGATTAGATGAAAATCTTGCAGCGGTGGCTGATCTAATGAAGCTACGAAACAAAAACTGAAACGATTTTATTGGAAATCATTCTATGAGGTTGCATAGCCAATAACGTTCTTCGGCACGCTCTCAAGGTAAAGTCAGACTGTCATGGATAAGTTCATTTCAGCAGCACACAGTTCAAATAATATATGGATGTCTAACAGAGCTTGGCGGTGACAAATTGGGGAATTCTTTTGACATTTCATGACTACGAGATGTTTAAGTGCTTCAATTTAAATGGCTGTAGTAATAACCAACCACTGATACACTGCTGGAAATCTGTGTTGAGGTGTCAAGAGGAGTGGATGTGAACACATCATTTAAAAAAAAACATTTGAAGTGTTCGTTCCAGGTTCTGACAGTTTTGATAAATCCATTGCCACATGCAGGCAATAATACGTTAAGTAATCTCAAATACAAGGCAAGCAATACTTCTACTCATGCCTGACAATTATTAGGTTTTAATTAGCCACGGGAACACTGCACTGCAGAGCCTTGAACACTCCAACACAACCTCCCAAAGTCAGCCACAAGATCATGTAACGAGACGCGGTGCAAATCCCAAGACCTACAAATGCCTTTTGATCGTTTAGTTGAGAAGATTTATTTTTCTTCGAGCCTCTCCAAATAAGAGGCGAGATGGATCATTTTTCGTGGCTGTTTGTGAGACACTGCAGTGTACAAATTGGCTGCTACACTTATCTACAAACGCAGTTGCTTCTCTTTAAAGAACTGTTTGACGTAATAGGCTCTATATCAAATGCAAGGGGTTATTATTATTATTATAAGCTACCTGGGAAGCAAAGGCAAAGGTATTAAGGGACAGAGTAAGGGCGAGGTAAGGTGATTCAAAGATCTATCAATGTCTTGGGCATTTTGGATCAGTCTGGTGATGGGTGTTTTCGGATCAGGAAGCCACATGCAACAATTCACATACAGTACTCCACAAAAAAGGATGGTTGCCATTAGAAACATTTTTGATCCCGGGAAGAGTATTAGTCTGGCAGGAACCTCTGCGAGGAGCGATTCTCCCAGCTAGGAGATGGATGGACATGGCCAATCATTGCATCTCTTTCCTCGCAGGCTTAAGTTACTTCAAGGGAAACAGCTCACACCGATCCTTAATTATCTGTATCGGTTGAGCGCGTGGGTGGGTGGGGGGGGAAGAGACACATTTTAAAGCAAAGACTTGTTCTGCTTGAAGCAGAAGTACATGGAGTAACACTTCATAACCGCTGCTCAGCCAAAGGCTGAAGCGTGACATCTCTCATCTCAGATACATCTGTAAGCAGTACACTCAATACAAAGGTTACTGAAGTGCAAATTGGCCAATGTTTTCCAGCGGTAATAATCCCCTCAAAATAAAATTAAATAAAAATAATAATAATTTGCTCACTGAATCCACGACTGTTTGTGACACACTGCTGTGCGCAATTGGTTGCCATGTTTCGCCCACAAAATAGAGTCAATTCACTTTACAGTACTTTCTGTGAAGCTCCTCGAGACATCTCGAAGACGTGATAAGGCGCCGTGTCAAATAATAACCCTTGCATTTGATGTGCAAGGAATATTATGATTATTATCTTTGGCTAAGTGTCTTAATGTACATGAGGGAGCAGCAACCTCCAATGTTTTAGATCACGTCAAATCTTTTAATCCAAATTTCCCCGCCTTTTCTCCGTGAATCTCGAAGCCCTCGTTTCCCAAAGAGCGATCCCTTTTTCAACACCCCGAATCATTCCGCCTGTGGAGCCTTCTGGTGCAGTACAATAGGAACATCCCGTCATTCAGGTTAGAATATTAAAACGTGAACATGCATTAATTCTAGCACCAAATGAGATGAAGCCCCAAGTAATCAAGAAATTCAGCCCAACTCAGTTCATTGTTTCAGCTCTGCAGCGTCAGCTGTACGTTCGCATGCTAATGATTAAAACAGTGAAAGGGGCCAACGATTCTCTGGAGTTTGACTAAACCATTTGCAATTACACATCTAGATTGCATTCTGTGGTAACAGCCAACGTTTCCGAGCAGAGATGAGGCGAGGCACCCAGTCATTTGTCTTCGTCTCTTCTGTTGCTCTGAGTAACAGGCCTGTGGAGGCTCGGTGTGCAACGAACGGGACCCAAAACAGATTATCCGGATTTCACATCAACCCTGACAGGCTAAAGGGCAACTCAATCAACTCCACGCAAACTAACGGGGGAATGAGAGTGAATAAAATAATAATACTTGCATTTGATATAGGGATGATTTTGAATCTTTGCACAATCTAGAGTGATCAGCGTCTCATTTAAAAGAACCAAGACCAGTAGCAAACTGAGGTGATAATAATCCTTGCAATTGATCTATCTTATTAAAGCGCTTGACAGGTAATTATTAAGTGTAATGGCTATATTTTGCAGGCAAACCCAGCGACCAATTTCTGTGAAGCGCTTTGAAGAGGTCTTGAAGACGCGATAAGGCGCTACATCAAATGCAAGGATTAATTTTTATTATAGTTTGCCACTGCTGTAGCCACGCTGTCAGACCCCTTACCTGCTCTAGTTACTGATGCCACCGCGCTCTGCTCGTCTTCAGACAGCACCGGGGATGTGTCCTGGGGGCTCCGGGAAAGGCTGTGCGCGGTGTTCTGGCTTGCCTGCTGCTCTGTGTCCTGCTCCAGAGCTGCCTCTAGCACAGCCATCTCCTCCTTCAGCTTCTTTAAGTTGATCTGTATTGCGTCCCGCTGCTTCGAGAGGACGGCGGAGGACGACAAGTGGAGAGAAAAAAAAGTTAGGGAAATACAACGCCATGAATTTTGCCCACGTGCCATTGCCTTTCACTTATAACTGATTTTGTGTGGCACTTGCATTTTATGTGAAAGGAACTGTATAAACTCCAGTTAAAAAACAGGGTTACATGGAATCTGAAAAATGACAATGGTAGATGGGAAGCCACGTGGCCCTATACTAGGATCAACAATGCACTCCAATCGCTGTTCTCTGCAGCTTTGATGTTCCTCTGCTTTTATGAGCTTTAAATCATTTCCTCCTTAATAAGTGTATTTTTAATTGACACGAAAACTATTCGAACGGTAGGCTGGCAAAAAGCCCCTCATCTTTCAACTGATCTCTGTAGCCTCAAACAGCTTGTGAAAAATGGAATCCATATGCCCAGATGCTGCAGCAATGACAAACCCAGTCCTTCTCTCAAAATACTGAACCTCGTTGGAACACAAGTTAAGATGAGGCCGGTTTGTTTCTCCAGATGACTCGTTCCAACTTGTGTCGATATAACTAACACCCATCGTGGACTGGACGCTACCCCCAACCTAATCCTCAAGGGAGACAAGTAACAACAAGAGGGCTTGTGAAACGTCTTCCCCACACGAAAGCAATTAGAAATTGCTTTAACCTCGCAACCTACATTACAGAACTCTCATCGGCTGCATAATATTTCCGAGCTCCCAGAAACCACTTTCCGCCACACAGCACTTGAGTGGCTGCCCTCATTTATCCTCACAAGGTACCCAAATCCTGTTGAACGGATAATAAACCTCCCTTTAGGACAGGAGATGATCAACCTAGTATTTCTGATGAGTCTACGCAATTATGTGGTACTAATCTCTAGTCTTCCCGAAGGTTTTCTCATGTACATTTTGAAAGTTAAGAACGGCAGGTCTGAACAACACTCATGTTTTCGCCAAACAATCTAATCATCCATCATTTTTCTGTTTGTTCATGGGTCAAAATTGAGGGCAATGTTTTACAGGGTAGTTAAGATACTGCTTAGTCGACATCTCAGGGGAAAAAAACATGTGCATCAGACATATTATTGTAGCTGTCCTGCCCCGCAGTGGCCATTTCCAGTAGCACTTAAGTAACACAAGTTACTGGAATATCATTTCCCTTGCAGAAGTCTGGAATCACTGAGCAACGCAGAATCTTTGTATCCGTTTATTTTAGACCAATTGAAGAAGATGCAACTATCTCGTCAAAGCTCTGTTTCCCTAAAACGTTATGCTACGTTTACGTTATGTTAAAACACTGCAGTGCTTTGGATTTGAGGATCTTGTGCCTTACCTGTGTGGTGAGGAGCTCACTGTCCGAAGAGAGAGAGTCCCCTGTGTGGCTGGCTTCACTGTCATAGCAAGCCGCTTGCCCACCTCCTACAACACAAACACAGTTAAATAAAACAGGCAACTCACAACCTGAAACAACAACAACTTACATGTAAACGGCGCCTTTCCCAAGGCCCCCGGTCAGTCTGGGATTTTTAACCCGAGCTGGGGGTTGGAAGAGGGCTGGGAGAGTAGGGAGTAGGGGAGGGTGACCGAACGCGCAGTCGAAGAGGAGGGTCTTGAGACGTGCCTCGAGGGAGGCAAGGGAGGGAGCGAGACCAAGGGATGGAGTTCCAAAGGGTGGGGACAGAGTGGCTTGAAGGCCCGAGCGCCGATGGAGGATTCCACGCGAGTCAGGTCAGTGCTCAGAGCCAGACGCTTTCCAAACATCAGACACCGTACCTGAATGCTCTGGCACGGCCTCCCCTGGCTCCCTGGATTGCTGATGATCTGAGGCTTCTCTTCTTTGCAAAGTCTTTTCGATTTTAGCCACTTGAGACGACCGCCTTTTCCCGTCTCTTTTGGTCTTGCTCCCAGAACTGATTGGTTCCCGAGCCGGCTTGTTGCTCGCCCCCTGCTCGGCCTGGGAACCGGACGGGGTGGAACAACAGTCAGAGTCGGAGGAGAACAAGTCGGGAGATTCCTCCGACGACTCGCTCGGGGAGAGGCATCGATTTCTGAGCAAGTTCTCGCGGAATTCCTCTAGCGCAGCATTTACTTGGGAGCAAGTGTTTTTAATTCCCGCGTCGCTCTTCGGCGGCGGTGAAAAGATTTTGCCCAGCGTGTCCTTCGAAGGCACAAGAGCTGTGCTTAAGGGACTTTGAGTCGCTGATGTGACATTCGATCCCGACTTCTTAAACCCAAACATCTGGAAGCACGGGAGCTCCTCATCACTCAATTCCGATCCGGAGGAGGACGAAGAAGAGAGTTTAACAGGTCGCTTCCGCCGCCCGACAACCAGAGCAGGCCCACCGCTGTCCTCCAGGCCCCGCTCACTTGGTTCAGCCATCTCCTCGTCCTCGCAGTGTAGCAGTTCCTCAACTCTCCTCACTTGGCTCTCGCTCTGCACTTCACCTCCCTCTTTCTCCAGGCCGCCTTGGTTCACTCTCTCCTCCACCAGGCCCTCGGGGGTTGAGGAGCCCATCGGTGAAGCTAGCGGAGACCTTCTCTCCTTCAGCTGGGAGGCCACCTTCGTCACCTCAGCCTGGTCGGCTAATTCATCCTCTGTTGAATCTCCGTCTCCAACTTTGGCCCTAAAGTTGCGTTGTGAGTGGGATGGCTCACCTCGGTTACAAAACCCTCCTGGTTCTGACATTTCGTCGGCTTTCGATCCCGACTTGAGTCGAGTCCCTTCTCCCGTTACCGCCTGACTTTTAGCTGAAAACAACAGCGTGGACTCAGGGTTGGAGCTGCAGGCAAGTTCTGTGCCGACAGTGATCTCCTCCACTCCACACGGGAACCCTGGGTTGGCCTGTTGAACGCTCTGGCCGTGCTCGCTAGTCGGGGTGGCAGGAACCAGGCTGTTGCGTTGGCTCGATCGGTCAGAGCGAAGGGTTTCTCTCTCAGTGACACCGGCCACAACACCGTCGCTCGACCCTCTCCTTCTGCTTGACCTGGTGCTGCTCCTAGTTGCCGCGCCTGGGCTTCCTGATGGAGGCGTCGCCCTCTGCTGACCGCCCTGCGGGAATGGAGGCATCACAGGGGAGCCAAAGGTTGGAGGGACAAAGTCAAGGAATTCCCCCTCTGTCCTGCGGCACTGCTGCGACATGATGTTCAACTCAACCACTGGCAGCTTGGCTTTGGCTTTACTGGTGACCAGAGCATCTTCCTGCTCGTTCTGGGACCCGGTCTCATCCTCATTGCGACTCTCGTTGAAATCTCTGGCACGCTCCAGCCTTACCGCCAGCCTTTCACTCGTTTCCTTCAAGTCAGCAGCAGGTTCGCCACTGGTGGGCACGGGCTTTGCAGCTGAAGGAGCTCTGTTGTCCACGGGCTGCAGAACGAATGACTTTCGCTTGGTCGACCTGAACGTCTTCAGCAAAGCCTGCGTGTCCACCTCACTGTCTTCGGTCTCTGGAGCCACCTCGGTTTCAGAAGCGACGGTCATTTTTTCGGTCGCCTCCGCTAACTCGTCTCCGGGCGGAACAGCAGATAAACCGGAAACACCGCCAGCGCTTAGCTTGCGGTCCTTTGCGCATTCAGGCTGCACGCGTAGCTCATCACACAGGTCTCCGTGCACGGGTTGGGGGGCGAGCAGCAACAGGCTGGCCTGAGTCCCAGAAGAGCAATCAGATCCCAGAAGGTGTTCAACTCCACATGGTAAATCACAGCCTTGCCGTGCGACTTCTAACGATTTTACTGGACTAGTGGGATTAAGCTGTTGGACCGGCGGAAACTCACACAATCCACAAGGCGGTGGATTGTCTCGATTTATGTTATCTGGTAACTTTGGAACCAGGACCTCCTGCAGTTGTGAGCTCCCGGTTTCCATGATCACCAGGTCTGGTCTACGCACGTCAGCACTCTCTTCACTGGGCTCTGGAATTCTGGCGGTCTTGAGGCATGAACCAGACTTCCCGCTCCTTCTATTTCCATGCAGCAATAGCTCCTGGTCCAGGAGCTTGAGCCTGCCGCTCCTTCTGGTGCTCCTCACTTCCTGTTCCTTCCTGGCTGGCTCCTCGCTGCTGGGAAAGCTATCGATTTTAATCTCGTTCGCATCGCTGGGACTCCTGCCGGGGTCGGCTTGTGCCAGCTGTATCCTCTCCATTTCGTTCTGACCCACCAACTGCAAACGTTTGGTTCCTTTCCTGGGCTGTTTCCCGGGCGTTTTTTTGACCTTCCTCTTTCCAGAGTTTCTGTTCAGCTTTCTCTTGCTTTTAGCAAGGGATACGCAGGGCTCCGGGTCAGGCCGCCCTCTGCATTGCTCCTCCCCTGAGCGATCGTCATCTTCTGCCAGGACATTGCGAGCAGCCTCTCCCCCCAGTGGGGCAACGACAAAGTCCTGATTGTTGGAATGTCCATTGGTCGCTTTATCCATCTCAGAGTGAACGCTCCGAGCTGTCGCATGTTCCTCGTGATCTCCTCGATGCTCCTTGTCCTGGTCACTGCCGTTCTTCTTGATGAAGTCTTCGGGACCCAGGAGGCAGCCGCTTTTCCTCTTCTTTCCTTTCTGACGCTTGTTGCAATCGACGCCATGGAAGTTGCTCTCTCCGCGGGGAGACGGGTCATCGCCGTGGCCTTTGCCATCAGACTTCAACCTGCTGATACGAGGGCTCTCCCGCCTGCCTCGCTTGTAGGTTTTCCCAAAGATTTGGTCTTCGGCATTGGCTCCGGCCGCTTTGCTCGGATTTCTATCTTCTAAAGGCGACGGGAGCACACCCCGAGCAATCGCTTCGGAGCAACCTAACCCGGAATTCTCATCGGTTGTGGTGCTCTCTCCTCCCTCTGCGTCCGACTCCCTTCTCTGCCTACTTGGATTAAATTTCACGCCCAGAGACGCTACCTCCTCAGCATCGATATTCGACAACCACTCGCTGACTCTCTCAATGCTCCGTTGCCCTTTTCTCTTGGCCGAGGCCGGTGGGTCGCTCGGCTTCTCTTCGCCCCTCAGAAAGCCTTTCGCTGGGGAAGTGTGGTCATTGGTCTTGAGATCTTCAGGGATGTACTCCCCACCCTTGCCTCTCTTCAAAGCCAATTTGTCCAAAAACTCTTCTCCACTGTCGATGAAACATTGGTTTTCAGCGCAAATCTGTGTCACCGTCGCTGCCACCATTTCCCCGTTGTGTCCGGCGAGGTTCTGAGAATCCACCTTATTTGAAACACCGGGTGGAGAATGGACCTCTGGGCTGCAGAAGCTCCTCTCAGACGGGCCCTTAGACTCTTGCTTTTCTGCGGTCTCAGATTCGTTCGCACAAGAATCACTGTCCAACTCGACCAACTCCTGGTCTGACACATTGTTTTCATCTAAAATACGAAAGACGTTAAGACCATCGGTTTAGATCAACCGTGAAAATAGCCGTACAGCAAGAAAATATAATCAAGAATAATAACAGCTCGCATTTATATAGCGCCCTTCATGCGGGGTAGCATGCTGGAGCACTTGACAGTAGCTGAGTATGACACTGAGTCAGGAGAGGGAGGTGAATGCAAGCACTATCAAAAAAGGTCTTTAGGCGGGGATTTGAAATTCAATAGGGCGGGGGGGGCGCGGAGGGATCGAGTGAGAGAGTTCCAAGGTTGTGCATGCTTTAGTCAGTCATTCATTCCACCCCTGATCAGTCAACAGTTCCTTGAACATGTTTCAAGCTCCCTTGCTAAAAGTACGGCAATAATCCCCGTGGTTCTGGGAGCTCGAGTGTAATCTCACCTATTTCCGATGAGAAAAGCTGCTCCAGCACCGTTTTACTTGCCAGTTTTGAATTATTTCCGTCAATGAGCCTTTCAGCTTGAGACTGATCAACTGGCCCCGTTTGGCAAGTTCCTTGCTTATTCACACTTTCAGGTTGCAGGGCAGAACTGCAGGAGAACACAACAATTTTGATGCTCTAGAATACTATGACTATTACACAGATATAAACACAAAATGAAGAGTAAATATTATTTTTAACTGTGGTCTTCATAAGCAAGCATTAATATTCTAAACATCAGATATATCAGTATAAACACTACTGCTAAGACAAGGTTTGCACTGTGATTCTGCACAGTATGACACAGAACGCACAAGACTTATTCTGCTGATTCCCAGAGGAGCTGTAATCTGAGCTCAGTTCCCTGCAATTTTACTATATTATTCAAATACTTAGTAGATACAACATCCGCAATCTGTCTACCACTGAATGTATTTGAGAAATAGTCTGTTTACTTTCCAGCTTTATACGCAACTCAGTGTCCTTGGCCTTCATAGATTGGCTTACCTAACGTTGACATTAGCTGTGAACAAAGGTTCATCCGAGGAATCCGAATCTGTAATACGATACAACGGCACAATGTTAAATTCACTACCAATTCTTACTGGAGGTGACACAAGCAACAAGTTACCAGTTACTGTACGAAAACAGTCATTAGATGTCTGTGGTAAATGTCACCAATATTTTCCTAATCTTTTCAAAGCTTTTAAGTTTTTGTTTCTGCAATATAAATTGAACAATCAGACCTTCTTGGATACACTTGTATCGCGTCCCATTGAATAGGGATGAGCATGTTAGGTGTTCCTGTTCTGGACTGCGTCAGAATTTAGAAATCAGCAGTAGGCCATTCAGCCCCTCAAGCCTGTTTCACCATTCTATAAGATCATGGCTGAGCTTTACCTGAACCCCAGTTTACCCACCTTTGCCTTGTATCCCATATCCCTTGACACCCCGACCTAACAAATATCTATCCACCTCAGTCTTGAAAACTTGAATGGATCCAGCATCTACAATGCTTTGGGGGGGGAAAGAGAGTTCCAGATTTCCACTACCCTTTAGGTAAAAATAAGGAACTTTCCATCATGTTGAGCAATTTAAATTCTTACCTATCTCAACAGAGATGGCGGCAGCATCTACTTTCTGCCTCTTGGTTCTGGGGGAAACTCTTCTTACAGATTCAGTCACGGGTAAGTCAGTGCTGACTTTCTAAACAAGAAAATACAAAACATTTTACAGGTCAACTCCATTCTAACGCGGCAGTCTGAGTGCATCAGCTCAGACTCCTGATCTGAAAAATGGCTCACTTCCGGGTTGTCAGGTTTCCATTTCTAGGGTAGGTCAGGTTTACAGTGATATGAGTGGACCAGCCTTAAACGATGACACATAATAACAGGGTTATCTTGCACTTTTAATGAGTTTAACTATTAAAAGTTCCTTGAATGTAATAGTGGATAAAGTTACTAAGTAAAAAGTATAACATCCGCTGTAGCCCCAAGCCATACAGAGCAAAACGTTGTAGATTTCAACCTACACTGAATTATCTGTTCTCACACAGGGCCCTTTGCACATCCACTCAGATTACCACCCACTAGAGGATACATGGTGATTGAAATTTTGTAAGACCAAGTAAGCAGTAAAGGGAAAAAGAGAAAGAAATGGAAACTTATTAACAGCAAGTTGTCGTACCAAAGCGTGGTTTGTGTAGCCTCCCCTAGCGACAGCTTTCGGAGATGTATTCGTGCTCTGGGAGTTGCTGTCTTCCAGCCACAGCTGCTGGTAAGTGCTGATGTTCTCTGTTGCTTTTGTAAGGGCGTTGGTGATGGAGACTATTTAACAAAAGGGCGAAATTGTCACGACAACCGACATTGGATTTCATCGCACTCATTGTCCAACATACGTTCAGGGATAGTTTGGATACTTACATTCAAAACCGGTGTCGAGTTCAAAGGCGCGGATTGTTTTCATGAGGCCCTCGGTAAGTTGTTTAAACCGAGTGCTATCCCGCAGACTCCTGAAATCACAAATTGAAGTTTCAAGACACAGGACAAGTAAAGTCGCTTTAGACAACAGGTTACATTTACATGGAGTGATGGAAGCCGTGAAACTGAAACTAAAAAGGAGAAGAAATATTTCTTTGTGGACAGACTTCCTCAAACAAATACAACAACAACAACAAATTACAATTGTATAGCGCCTTTCACATCGGGAAGACGTCCCAAAGCACTACACAAGTGGAACTTATGTTAAGTATAACATGACAACCCCAATTAGTTCAGCCTCAAAGATTTTAAAGATGCAGTGGAGTCCTGTAGCTCAGTGGTTAGAGCACTCGCTTTGCAAGTGAGAGACCTGAGTTCAATTCCAGGCAGAGGGTGAAACCTTGGGCAAGTTTCCTTACTCCACACAGAGCCTAATAATAATCCCTCCAAAACTAAAAACAATAATTAAATTGGTCATTTTCAATCTACGACTGTTTGTGGGACATTGCTGTGCGCAATTGGCTGCCGCGTTCGCCCACAAATATACAGTCAATTCACTTTACAGTGTGTTCTGTGAAGCGCTTTGGGACGTCCTCCTGACGTGAAAAGCGCTATATCAAATGCAAGGATTATTATTATTATTATTATTATATGCAGCAAAATCACATTAAAATTTGGGCTACGAATACAAAACTGCGATGTATTTACCAAAGACGAGCTTACCTCTTGGTGAAACTTTTATTGCACAATGGACACTGTGCGGAATTGTTCTTTTTGTGAAAAAGTTTCAATATACAAAACCTGGAAATAAAAACAAAGTAAAATGGAATCCAAATGTAAAAACTGCCTTAGAAAATAATATCAAAGTGGTTCTTGGGCAATATAATTCTTTCTCAAATGTGATGTAGGACAGCCACATTTCAAACACGTTTTTGGAAACGCAACAACAAATTACATTTGTATAGGGCTTTCACGTCGGGAGGACGTCTCGAGGGCCAAACAAGCACAATGCTTACCGACAAAATTGGTGATCACATTTTGTTGAAACTGGGTCTTTCATCAAATCCAAACTGAAATGAAAATAGATTAATTTAAATAATTCATAAACGAATTGCATGCATAATGCATCACACCAATTTGTACCTTCATAAAACATTTAGAAATTTGCTAAGCAAGTGCCAACTTTGACAACTCTCTTTCCAAGCTAAAATGACTGAAATTCAGGGCCCGACTCAGGCTGCAATGTCAGTACAATTTCTTCTATTTACTCAAGGTGGAAAGCTAACTCAGATTCAAAGAGACTCAAAAATACAGAGACAGGCAGAGAGAAGGGCACACAACAACAACAATTTTATAACTCCCTTCGTGCGGAGCAGCTTAAACACAAACACGTGTGATATCTACAACGTCGGTCCCAATTAATACAGATATCTGGAGTGAATTTTAATCAGAAATCATATTATACATAAAATAACAACTCATAGGGCTGAGGCACCACAGAAAAAACACAGCGCTCACCATATTGGACATTCCAAATTCTTCAACATGAGGGACAGCACCTCGTGCACCCGTTCGACCTCAGTCTTGCGCACAGACATTTCTAATCAGGATTCCGATGACTTCTGCAAATAGGAATAAGTGCGTTGGTTCTGGTCTAGAAGCGCTGAAGAGAGGACGTTCAGCGCGCACCCCCCCCCCCCACCCCCCACCCCGATCTGCACCAACAGTATCAATCCAGCGTCTCTCCCGCCGCGAGTATTAATCCTTGCGTTTAACAACTGAGCGCCCGCTTTACTGCGAGGTAAACAAAGGCGGGTGGGGTAAGGAAGCTCGCCTGAGGTTTCGCCCGGCCCGGGGCTAACCCCGAATCAAAGCCTCGGCCAATGGGTAGACACGTCACGACTACTACAACAACAACTTGCGTTTACAGAGCGGCCCCCTCGGACAGGGCAGCGCCCCAGAGCGCTTGACGCCTTTAACAACAATAATAACAACAACAGCAATAATCCTTTTGCAGTTGATGGGAGCACTGTATCGCGTCTCAAAACGTTACTGCAAAGTGGACCTTTGTGGCCGAAACGCCGCGGCCGATTGTTGCAACAACAACAAGATTCCATTTATAGAGCGCCTTTCACGTCGGGTGGACAGTCCCGAGACGCTGGACAGTTGGGTCGGGACCCGAGCATTGGGGGGGAAACGGTCAGGGTCAGGGGAGGGGAGGGAGGGAGCGCGGAGGGGGTAGAGAGTCGAGAGGGGAGGTGAAGGCCCGGTCGAAGACCACTCGGTGACCCAAAAAAAAACTATCACGAATTATCCTTTTGGAGGTTTTTTGTTTATTTTTAAAAGTGTGTGGAGGGGGGAGGGGGGAGGGGGGAGGAGGGGGGGGGAGAGAGGGTCAAAGAGCGGGTGTGTGTGTGGGGGGGGGGGGGGTGGGTGAGAGTGACGGAGGGAGGGGGGAGAGGAGAGAGAGGGTCAAAGAGCGGGTGTGGGTGAGAGTGACAGAGGGGTGTGTGGGGGGGGTTTCTCGGTCGGTGGCTCATTTCCTTGCACCGCCTTCGGGGGCCCCCCGCCTCCTCCTCCTCCCCCCTCAAGGGCCTCGGACAACCGAGGCCCGATCGGTCGGTCGGTCACCGCGACAGTCAGCGATTAACGGCCGCCGCCACCGCCGGGTCTCAAACACGCCTCACCCCCCCCCGTGCGCCGCGCAAAAGGCTCCCGTCGGTGCCTTACGTGCGAGAACCAAACCCGGGTCTCTAGCGCCCGTTGGGAGCCACCGCGGCGACGGCCTCTCCCGACCACCGACCGCTCACGGGCTCCGCCATCTTTTGCTTTTCCCGCTCTGGCGGCGGTCACGTGACGCGTCCCGTCACGTGACGCGCCGCCGCCCCGATGCTGATTGGCGGACACACCACCACCACGTGTGCGGCGACGGCAGCGTCGTTTCGCCGTACGCCGTGCAGTGACGTCGGGGGCCGCCGCCGATGCGTCGCGTAGCGTCGCTCCAGCGCACGTTTCCCTTTGGCCGTACGGCGCCAGCGCCGCGACGTTCTTGCCGTACAACCCGCGGAGCCGTTTGGGGCTGCGCGCGCCGATCGCAGGGGCTCTGCAAACAACAACAACAACAACGACGACAAACAACAACACAACAACAACTTGTCCGCAGCAGAGACGCTTCATTTCCCCGAGGAGTAAATGCATCAGAGAGGCTGTAAAACACTGCAGCTTTACTCCAGACGCGGGTCCCGCTGACCCGCGGGAAACATCGAGCAATAATAACAACAACAACAACAACAATAATAATCCTTTTGCATTTGCTTACAGCGCTTTTCCCGTCTTCCCGAGTCGTCCCGAAGCGCTGCGCGGAACAGACCGTGGAAGTGAATTGACCCGTACGTTTGTGGGCGAACCGCACGGCGGCCGACGGCGCACAGCGGCGCACGGCCCCCGCGCAGCCGCCGGGTTGAAAGCGGCCGATTTATTATTGTTTGTTTATTGTCATTTATTATCAGGTTTCCTTCGGATTAAATTTCCGCTGCCCCCGCCGGAGAGAATGTTAGGCGCGCAACGGCCCGCTGCCCAGCTGCGCTCGGCCCTGCCAGCCCACCCGAATCCCACGGGTACACTACGAAACACACGGCGCCTTCCGTCAGGTCTCGTCGCTCCGGCCCCACAAGCGCCGAAGAGAGGACGTTGAACCGTGCAACCCCCCCACCCCCCCCCCCCCCACCCCGCCAGTTAATAATAATCCTTGCATTTGACGAGCGAGTGCCCGGCTTACTGCTCGGTGAACGCGAGGCGTGTGGAGTTGGGAAACGTGCCTGAGGTTTCGCCCCGACCACCGCCCCCCCCCCACCCCACCCCCGGGGCTGAGCCTGAATTCTCTGCCCTCAAGGCTGCAGTGCGAATGACAGTGAGGAGTATCAGTCGCACTGTCGATTGCGACGTCACTACCTGGCGCGAAGGGCGCAGTGTATGTCAATGCAAATCGCTACCTGGGCGAAGGGCGCAGTGTATGTCAATGCAAATCGCTGTTGTGTCGAAGTGTGGGTTACAGACACAGTGTGACAATCACTGACACACACACACAGTGACAATCACTAACACACACACAGTGACAATCACTGACACACACAGTGACAATCACTGACACACACACACAGTGACAATCACTAACACACACACAGTGACAATCACTGACACACACAGTGACAATCACTGACACACACACACAGTGACAATCACTGACACACACACAGTGAACACTCACTAACACACACAGTGACAATCACTGACACACACAGAGTGACAATCACTGACACACACAGAGTGACAATCACTGACACACACACAGTGACAATCACTGACACACACACACACACACACAGTGACAATCACTGACACACACACACACAGAGTGACAATCACTGACACACACACAGTGACAATGACTGACACACACACACACAGTGACAATCACTGACACACACACACACACAGAGGGGGTGGGGCCAGGATCAAAGTGACTGGCAGTGACGTCACAGGGCTGTCAGCTGACCGGGCGCGGGGGCTGCTGGGAGGGTGGTGACGTGTGCGGTGTAAACACTGGCGGTGCGGAGGGGGAGGACCGGGAACCGGGGCCGCGGGGGGAGAGGAGAGGACCGGACCGGACCGCGGGGGGAGAGGAGAGGACCGCGGGGGGAGAGGAGAGGAGAGGACCGCGGGGGCAGCGATGGAGCCGCACATCAGACTGAGCGTCACCTACGGCGCCGAGACCCTGACCTTCTTGGTGTCGGATTCGGAGAGGACGACCTGGGCGGACCTGGAGGCCATGGTCAGTGAGAGCCCGGGGCCCCCCCGCCACCCCCAGCCCGGGGCCCCCACACCCCAACCCACCCCCACAACCAGCCCGGGGCCCCCACACCACCAGCCCCACCACCAGCCAGGCCTCCCCCCGCCACCAGCCCGGGGCCTCCCCACCACCAGCCCCACCACCAGCCAGGCCTCCCCGCCACCCCCAGCCCGGGGCCCCCCCCCCGCCACCCCCAGCCCGGGGCCCCCCCCCCGCCACCCCCAGCCCGGGGCCCCCCCCCCCGCCACCCCAGCCCGGGGCCCCCCCCCCCGCCACCGCCAGCCCGGGGCCCCCCGCCACCCCCAGCCCGGGCCCCCCAACCACCAGCCCGGGCCTCCCCCCCCACCCCCACCACCAGCCCGGGGCCTAACCCCAACCCGCTCCCCGCCAGGCCTCCCCCCCCGCCACCACCGCCACCACCAGCCCGGGGCCTCCCCCCCCCCCCAACCCGAGGCCTCCCCCCCCTCCCCCACCGCCACCCCACCCCCGCCAGGCCTCCCCCCACCGCCAGCCCGGGGCCTCTCCCCCCCACCCCCAATAGGGCCCCCAGGCCTCCCTCCCTCCCTCCCTCCCCCGCCAGGCCCAGGCATCGCGCTCCCTCCCCCCTCCTCCCCCCTCACTCAAACCCAGGCCTCTCTTCTCCCCCCTCCCCCTCCCCCCTCCCCCTCCCTCTCTCTCTCTTTCCCTTCAACAGCTCTCTATGTGCATCAAATCAACAATAGCCTCTTTGCATCTCGCCCACACGCTACACACAGTCACTACACCTTACAGCGTATCCCGTGAAGCGCTTCGAGACGTCTCGAAGAAGTGATAAGGCGCCGCATCAAATGCAGTGATTATTATTATTACATAACTCCCCCCCCTCGCACAGGGGTAGTGTCCCTGAGCACTTAATTCTTCCTCTCCGCACACACACACCCACACACACACGCGCACACACACACACACACCCACACACACACTCACACACACACCCACACGCGCACCCACACACACGCACACCCACACACACACGCCCACACACACACACACACACACCCACACACACGCGCGCACACACACACGCCCACACACACACGCACGCACACGCACACCCACACACACACGCGCGCACACACACACGCACACACGCGCGCACACCCGCACACACGCACACACACACGCGCGCACCCACACACACGCGCACACACACACACGCGCACACACACACACCCACACACACACGCCTCGGTTGATTATTAGTCGATTGGCGGATGGCTTTTCCGGGGGAGTGATCAACAATCCCTCCCAAAACACCCTAACAATTCGGTCGCTCGCTCCGCAGCCGTCCGCGGGACGCTGCCGCGCCAGTTGGCTGCGGGTTTTTCCGCCCCACAGAACGCAACAGCGTTTGTCCAGCGCCCCTCAGGCCGGGCCGCGTCCGCGGAGAGCTCGACGCAACTCGGCCTCGCGCTCCGCCCCCGTCGCGAGGGCTCTGGGCACGCGGCCCCCCCCCCCCTCCTGCGCGAGGGGCGCTGTGTAACACGCACACGGTTGTCGCTTTTGCCGGCCTTGCCCGGTTTCTCACCCCCTCCCCCGCCCTCGGCAATCCTAATTTTCTTCTTTGCTTCGGTAAGAGTGCAATCCTCGCGTTTGATGGCACATCACTTTTGAGAGCAAACCTCACTTTAATACACCAGTGTCATTCAGTGTAATACAGTCTTTGTTTGTAAAGGTTGTGGCTCCTCGTAACTCGGCTGTGTCGAATGAGGTTTGCAGAGAAGTTGGCTCACACAGCCATTTATTCGCTTAAGATATTATTAAGATATTATTAAGAGCGTTTGAAAATGTTTCTTTTCTTTCCCGCTGAGCAGCGATGACTTGGGCCGGTTTTCGGACCTCCGATATCTCTGTTTGGTTGCAGTTGGGGCAGTGACTCGCTTCAAATTTGGCTTTCGTTTACGGGCAAACGCTTGGGTCTTGCAAATGGTTTGTGTCTGCGTCTTGCCTGAGGGATTTAGGCAAGATGCAAATACACATGTTTTGTGTTGAGAAGCAAACTGGTTGATCCCGGTGTGCGTAAAAAAAAATACTGAGTCACAACAACCCCTGAATGGTAAAGTGTAGCATTGCTGACAGCTGGCTGGTACATGCATTTATTAATAATAAATAATAATAATAATCCTCGCACTTGATATAGCGCTTTTCACGTCGGGAGGACGTCCCAAAGCGCTTCACAGAACACACTGTAAAGTGAATGGACTGTATATTTGTGGGCGAACGCGGCGGCCAATTGCGCACAGCAATGTCCCACAAACAGTCGTGGATTGAAAATGACCAATTTATTATTGTTTTTGGTTTTGGAGGGATTATTATTAGGCTCTGTGTGGAGTAAGGAAACTTGCCCAAGGTTTCGCCCTGACCCCCCGGGGATTGAACTCGGGTCTCTCGCTTGCTTAGGGATGGTTTCTGAAACTAAGGAACTGAATGTAGTGTCCAGCGGAGTGTGTTGACCGGCTTCACGTACAAATTCCGAGCTTTATCTTTTTATACTACGGTGCGTGCTGTTCAGCCAGTAACACCCAGGAACGTAAGCTTATGTGAGATTATGTTCTGTGTGTGAGAGCGCAGCAGATGTATGTAGTAACTTCAGTTAGTATTAGCGCAGAAAGAGAAACTTATGTTTCTTCTGCATCCACCAATGAGAAAAAAAATCAACATGAAAAATGTACCAAAAGGCCTTCTGTCAAAACATTTCTGCGATTCTAAGGTTCGGGCCACTTAGTAAATACTGTGGATTCCTTTGCTTAGTGGTTAGAGTGAAACGATGGGTTTGTTTCCTCACTCCACACACACGCCTCTGTTTACCTAACAGTAAAGTTGGAACCCGGCTGTTAAATCGATGGGCGGATCGCTTTTCCGGGGGTAATAACCCCCTAAAAAAATGTTAATTTGATCACTTCAAACCACGGCTGTTTGTGGGACGCTGCTGTGCGCAATTGGCTTCCACGTTTCGGCCACAAAATATACAGTCAATTCAGTTTACACTCTATTCCCAGAAGCGCTTTGAGACGTCCCGAAGACGAGATAAGGCGCTGTATCAAATGCAAAGGTTATTATTATGACGACGTGCTATTCTTGCGTTGACATAGAGAATTATCCTTTGTATTCGGGGTCAACCGCCTGAGATTTAGACTTCTCGCAGGATTAGCTTTCCTCAAATTAATTGTTCATTATTCTTATACAAAGTGAAAGAAACTCAGAGGTCGGTTGGAGGTACGAGGAAGCCAGAGGAGGGGGGAAAGTGGAACGCACTTCATCTTGTCACACGTTTGGTTCAGAGAAGTGGAACGTGATGCAAGTGATGTGTGACAGCATTTTTCAAAGCGAATTTTTTTTCCCCAAACTTTGTGACTTTAGGTAATTTAAAACATATTTGGACGTGCATTCTCTACGCCTTTGCGACGCCCAGATCCCTCGCTCTTATTCCCATGTCAGTCTGCGTTGAGATCCCTGATTGCATTCTTTAAAAGTCAAGTGGTGTTTAAATGTGCACGTGACTGACCTCTTTGTAATTACGTCAGAACAGCACAAAGCTTTATTAGGTCCTGGTTGTTAGTACTCCTTCCCTAATCCTTCGGATTATCTGGTTGACCTAATTGTCGGATAAATAGAGTTTCAGCACACTTTTTTTTCCCCTAGCTTTTGGTTAAGTCAAAGAAAAGTTTTGCGTTTCGGATATTGCCGCTTTAAGTGACTCTTTTTTTTTCCTTGGCTTTAGCAATTTTTTTACAGCGATGATCGCTTTCTTACACTATAGTCTTAAAATATTCCCCCTAGAATGACTTTTAAAAGTAAAACTGGTTCAGTAGCTTCCCAATCTGCTTGTAAAACTCGAATGATGAGTCTGCGTCAACGTTTGTTAGATTGCAGTGCTGTGTGTGTGGTGACCTTTCCTCATCTATAAATGTCACATAAGGTACTGAACATCCAAAATTAGTACTTGCGAGAGAACAAAACGTTTACAAAACCTGTTGCGTAATATTTGTGCGTCTGTCACAATACGGGAACACACTCGATGTTTCCAAGAGGGAATAAAAGCAGAATTGTTTCTTGCCTTTCTGCTGAGTAAACATTAACTTCCTTCCTCCCTCCCTTTGCCAAGCAGATACCATTTTGATTTTTCTGACCCTAAAGCACTGAGACCAATGCCAGTTAGCGGTTTGCGTGTCAGTTTATGAATCTAAAAGCACCTGATTTCTGATTGTTCGTGGTAACTGATGTAAGACGGTGTGGGTTGCGGATCCAGTTACTGTGTCAAGCAGGTAGAGAGGAGCCAAGAGATGCCAATGTCAGGCAAGGTGCTTCTGCTCATATCAGAGAGAGAGAGCGAGCGCAGGAAATCTGAGAGAGGCAGCTTTACAGACCATTAATGATTAGCGGATAACCTGCCGCTTGATTCAGTTTTTATTACGCTGTGAGTGAACGTAATAAAAAAAATAATAATAATCGTTGCAGTTGATCCAGCCCCTATAATGTTTCGTACGTAATTATTATAAAGTGTAGTGACTTTGTGTAGGTTAACGCAGAGCAGTGGCTGCTTTAATGCCGAATTTGACAGATTGCACATAATGTGTTCAACCGTTTCACCAAATACACAATGCCGTTAATAAAGTGGAGACGGTATTAATTTATTTTTTCTTCTATTTCAGGTACAAGTTTCCTTTGACTTAAACAATTCGCAGCTTAAGTACATTGATGAGGATAATGAAGAGGTGAGTTCCCGCCCGTCGTAGATGCGAAGAGAGTGTAGAACGCATATTTGTGTCCGCGTGTGTCGTGTTTGCACTAAAATGTTACTGTGGCTGTCCATGCTTTACTACAACCCAAGAATTACTTGTATTTGATCTTTATAAACCTTGACCGGCAAAGTTGCTGATGTAAATTTATGCTCAAGTGCTGAAGGTACGTTTTCTAAATCGGGGAAATGCAATCTCTTAAATTTTGCAACCTGCAGGTACCTTATACAGAACAGTAACTTCTTTATTTGAAGAAAATATTTCATAAGGTGGTGCACGTTTATTTGATTCAGTACCCGATGAGTGATTCTTACTTCTTCTTTGCATTTCAGGTTTCTGTTAACAGCCAAGGTAGGTTTCCTGTCACTGTACCTTTCATTCGAATGTGTGTGGACAGAAAGCTGGAGCGTAAGACCTCTTTTAGTTCAAAAGATGAGCTGGATGGAGAAGGGAATGCACCCAATCTCTCACTTCTCTTGCTACGCTGCAGTAAAGATCGGGTTCTCTTACTAAAGTGGTTCCTTTCTGATCTCCACCGTTAATTTCAGTTCATATTCATATGGGTTGTGTTTGATGCCAATTTAAATTCATCTTCTCTCTCCCTTCCCATGTAAATGCACAATAACTTTGCTTTCCTTTGTTCCATTTTAATGTATTTTTTGTTTTATGCACACAGAGGAATATCAAGAAGCTTTGAAGGTAATAACTCGTTGCAATCAATTATCTAAAGTTTTCAAGCGGAAAAATGATGATTTTTAAAAAGAAAATGTAATTTAATTCCAGTTCTCCCAGTTGAACTCCCAGTACAATTAAATACACAGCCACTCCACTTTACAATATATTCTGTGAAGTGCTCTGAAATGTCAACAACGTGATAAGGTGCTATACCAAATGCAAAGACTATTATTATTATTTTTATTCTCTTTAATTAGAGAGCAGCCAAACAAGCCAACCACATTCAGGTGAATGTTTACGAGGGAAAACAATCACAGATAAGAACTGAGAGCCAGAGCGCAAAGAAGATGTGTGAAAACGGTGACACGCAGAGAGAGTGTCTGAACAAGAAGCCAAAGAAAAAGGAAATGAAACCTCATTCGCAGCTCCTGAAAACCATCGACCAAGACGCAAAGGTTTCACAAGACTGTAAGAGAACGGTAAGAAAAAAAGCATTGGCTTGGCACAGCTGACAGTGTCCGAGCCTCTGGGTCAGTAGGTTGTAGGTGGAGTCCTATAGCGTAGTGGTTAGAGAACTCGTCTCGCGAGCGAGAGGACCCGGGTTCGATTCCGGGATGCTGCATCACTTACATATAAATGTAAGTTGTTGTTGATTCCCAGGCAGGGCGAAGCCTTAGGCAAGTTTCCTCGCTCTACACACATCGGTTTACCTAGCAGTAAGTAGGAACCAGGTTATTAGTTGATTGGCGGATCGCTTTTCCAGGGATAATAATAATCCCATGAAAAAGAATGTAAAAATGGTAATAACTTGGTCATTCAATTCACAACTGTCTGTGGGACGCTGCTGTGCGCAATTGGCTCCTATGTTTCGCCCACAAAATACACAGTCAATTCACTTGACAGTGTGTTCTATGAAGTGCTTTGAGACTTCTTGAGGACTTGATGAGGCAGGCGCTGTATCAAATGCAAGGATTATTATTATTATATAAACTCCACATCGGGACTGGAGCTCACAGTTTAAATTAACGATTCAGCACAGGGCTGGGTGGCATTGCCAGAGTTCCTGTGCTCAGGTGAGATGTTCAGGCAAGATCTTGGAAGGAGATCAGCGGGGAGAGCGGGGAGTTCCTGCAGATTTTTGCCCAAAAGTAACTTTCTACGCGATTATATCCTGCAGGTGACCCCGAAAGATGCAGATCACAACGAGGAGAACTGGCAGCTGCCTCCAGCGTGGTTTACAGGGTACATGGAGACTGTAAGTGTTGTGTATGTCCTGAAATTGTAATTGGGAATGTTGTGGTGGAGACATTGTGCTGTTGGATGAGCTCGTATTGTCTTATAACAGCAGTAAGTGGCTTGCCAACTTACCGTCAAGACTCGCATGTAAATAATGGCCACTGAGTGAGGTTCTGGAGGCTTGTCATTGCTGTGTGTTTGTAGACGCTACTTATCGTCTAGTCTGAGTCAGTAACTACAAGGCATACAGCACAGAAGGAGGCCATTCGGCCCATCGTGCCTCTGCCGGCTCTTTGAAAGAGCAGCCCCGCTCTTTCCACATAGCCATGCACGGTTTTCCTTTTTCAAATACCTGTCCCAATTCCCTTTTCGTTTTTAAGTACCGATCCATCGGGAGAGAGCCCGGGAGAAACTATTTTACACTGAGGGATGAATCATTTTAGAGATAAAAGAGAGAAATAAAGAGAGCTCCGGCACAGGTGACATGGACTGACTGTCTGACCTCCTCTGCTGCAAAAGTAGGGCTTCAGCGCACGTGAACTTTTTTTCGTTCGTTTCAGTTCAAGGAGAAGCTGGTGAGTGAAACCGTCGACCGGATCTGTTGTGAAGTCTTTCACGAGAGCACGAGCCATCGGAGATGGGCGCGTGAGGTGTCCAGCGTTCAGGAGCCATCCCCTCTCCATCCTCCGCTGGCCCAGGCTACGCGGAGCAGTGACTTTGATTGGCACATGGCCTGTAGTCATTGCCAGTCCTGTATCGTTGGTGTCCGATACCAGTGCAGGTAACACACACCGTTCTGTATTACACTGTATCTGGCTGACCCCCCCCCCACCCCCAGGGTTTAAAGGTTGTGAAGGTATTTCAGGACTAGCGATCGCATTTCTTTCTAATAATTTTTCTTTTCCCCCCTCCCCCTCAACACCTCGGCGTTCGCAGTGTTTGTCAGGATTACTCCGTGTGTGAAGCCTGTGAAGCTGGTGACTGCGGGCACGATCCTGCCCACTCGCTGCTGAAGCTGAGGAGGCCGCCCGTACCCACCGCTGAACCCTCCTCACCCCCGCTCCGTGCGGGCACCGGTTTCCCCGGGGTGGTGGAGCAAGCACGGTAATTCCTTCACCGCTAACCTGTGCCGTACCCAGCGAGCAATTGATGTCTTCCAGCGGAAGAGAAAAATGAGTGGGGATTACTTTTTGGGGATGTTTCGCTTGAGGAAGAATGCGCTCTAATCTGGAATAGTCAGCTCCCGCCCCCTCACTTGCCTCCTTCAAAGTCACGTCTCAAGACTTTCCTCTTCACCCTCCTGCCCCTGCCCTCCATCCCCTCCTGATGCCAACCGCCGGCTAGGGTCCAAATCCCTGACTGTCCAGCGCCTTGGGACGTCCTCCCGACATGAAAGACGCCGTGTAAATGTTATTTGTTGTTGTCTTAACTTTTTTTTTTGTTGTTTGTTTCTTCCTCTCCCCGTCCTCCCAACACCACCCCCGCCACCCCCCCCCCCCCCCCCATACACACACACACACACAACTTCTCAGATTGCAGAAGCAAATGGAGAAAACGTTTCTGAAAGCCGAGAAGCAAAGGCTGCGAACTGAGAAGAAGCAGCGCAAAGCAGAGTTTAAGGAGATTAGAAAGCAACTGAAGCTTCAGAAGAAAAGTCCCCTGTGGAACGGGCTGCGTGTTGTGGAGCACCCTAGCGAGCAGATCCCACTGCCTAAAGGCTTCCCGGCCCCGGCTACCGTGTAAGTAATAGGAACCCGTGGCTCAGAGCTGCGGGAAATTCTAAATAATAATAACCCTTCTATTTGTTCTAGCGCCTTATCACGTCGTCCAGACGTCTCAAAGCGCTTCACAGAATACATTGTAAAGTGTAGTGACTGTGTACATCTTGTGGGTGAGATGCGGCAGTCAATTGCGCTCAGCAGTGTCCCGCAAACACTCGTGGATTGAGTGACCAAATTGTATTGGGAGGGAAGGATTATTACCCCTGGCAAGCGACAAGTAACCGGGTTCCTACTTACTGCTGGGTAAACAGAGGCGTGTGGAGTAAGGAAACGTGCCTGAGATTTCATCCCGCCCGGGAATCAAACCCAGATCCTCTCGCTTGCGAGCCGAGCGAGCTAACCGCTACAGGACTGCACACATTTCTATCTTTATTTGAAACCCGGTTCTTTTGTAAGCACAGCGGGGAAAACGCTTACATTTTAACGGAGCAAAGTGGCCTTGCAGGCCGTGACTGGGTGGGATTCGAGGCCTCTGGTTTGCCTGCGACGAAAGGTGTGGTGTGTTCATGCTCCAGGCCTGTCTCCATGTGGAACGCCGAGTTTGTGGATGAGAACTTCCTCGACGGGACCCACCTGCAGCCCGGGTTTCAGTTCACCAAACACTGGAGGATGAAGAACACTGGCAACATCAAGTGGACCCAGGAAACAAAGGTGACCGAGACATTCTGCCGGCTAAACCCACTCCTCCCTGCTGGAAGCTAACGTAACTACTGTACTAAAGTGCAGTTGAGAGCATTGTTCATATCGGCATCGCTGTCTGATCCTTTGCTCATTTGACGCCCACACGCTTGTACCTTGCGGCTGGATGGTGATCAGGAGTGGGAGCCTTGGCTGATTCTTAACCCCCCCACCCCCCACCCCACCCCTGGCTCAGCGTTGTGCTCTGCCACTGTCGGACGCTCTGAAACACTACCCTGCATGATCGGCCGCCGTGTAAACGCACGTTGCTGTAGCAGAACAAGTCTGCGGAAACGCTACTTCAGTGGGCGAGCAGCAAACTTATGGGCCAGGCTCCCTGGGGACAAATTTGTGGGATTACTGTTTGGAAATAATACTGGAGAGACGGTGTATAGTTTGGGGACAAACGGCATGTCAAGTGACGGCCAGGGATGGTGGAAGGCGAACTGGATGGACCTCGGTCTTATTTCGCCGGCAAATTCTGCTGTGCTTAAGCTGCAGTAATTCAGGTGGAGTTAGATTTTTTTTGTTTCGTGGCTAAATTGGAGAAGTGATGCTGATCGACTGTTCATTCCACATTAACGTCACAGCTCCAGTTGATGTGGGGGAATCTCCCCGGGGCTCAGTCTGCGATGGAGGCGCCCGTCCCAGCTGTGGCACCAGGACAGATCGGGGTGGTCTCCGTAGCGTTCGCTGCCCCCAATTCTGAGGGCACCTACTCCTCTCATTGGCGACTGGCTCACGCAGGGCAACAGTTTGGGCCTCGAGTGTGGTGCAGCATCGTCACTGACCCCCTGACACTAGATGGGAATACCAATGCCCCCTGCGTCAGCCCTGCCCAGATCCCCTCGCCCGACAATCAGGCAAGTCGATGAAGCCAAAAAAAAAAAACCTTTTGTCTAGTCGCATCACTAATGCATCGCTTGAGAATGTCTGCCTTTGATTTCAATTTAAAATAAACGTCACTCACCGTAATCGTGGAGTTTGCAACGTAATAATAATAATAATAATCCTTGCGTTCGATACAGTGCATTATCACGTCGTTGAGACGTCTCAAAGCGCTTCACAGAATGTACCCTAAAGCGATGTGACTGTGTCTTTTGTGGCAGCCAATTGTGCACAGCAGCGTCCCACAAACACTGAGTTTGCAAAATCGCCTCAGTTACTAATAATCCTGAGGTTCGTGTCTGTTTAGATTGGGGAAAGGGGGCGAGGAAGGAGAGTTGTTTTAATGGTGGGTGGAGAGGAAGCAAAGTCGCAACAGAGATTTCCTGCTGGTGATGGTTTTAATGCAAGTTGGAATCTCCTTTAGGAAGGGGCTTCGTCAGAGGCAGGAATGGAGGACCCCCAGGTTACCTTGGAGCCCAAGGAAACCGAGAGCTCAGAGACAGCAGCCAGAGCTGACCCCAGGCTTCAGGACTATGATCCCAGCGCAGACTTCTACACCATGGTGCCCTCCGTGGACCTGCTGACCGCCCAGGTATGTGTGTGGTGACCAGACAAACGTGGGGTCACCGTGTGTGATGTTTGCATCGGAAATGTTTATAACTTTTGCCTTGAGAGATGGTTTTAATGCATTTCTATTTTATTTTCTCCCCCCCCCCCCCCCCGCCTCTCGCACGGATCTAGGATTTGCTTTCTTTCGAATTGTTGGATATCAATATCGTCCAGGAAATGGAACGTGTACCACACAACACACCGGTTGGTAAGTAAGATGTGTTTTAAGGACCATTTTCTTAGACTTTATATATATATATGTGTGTGTATATATAATATATATGTGTATAGATATGTCCATTATAAAAAATATTATACCTACATAGGTTTGAGTTAGAATCCCATCAGAAACGTCGACACATTAGTGTCTATACTAAGGTCCTTTTGGAGTGATCAAGGTGAGAGAGGGATGTGTTGTGGAATAAGCAAGTGACGGTTGGAGCTTATTTGGGTCCTACAACGAGTTCTTGGGCCATTCAGCGTCTTGAGTACGCGATCCTGTCTATATAACGTATATTTTTTGCTTACTCTTAAGACATGACACCGTGTATGTCACCGCTGCCCTATGATGGGCCGCTAATTGAGCGACAAGGATTGGGTCAGATCGAGGAGGAGACTGAAGCCTATTTCAAACCCAGGCTCGGTAAGGACATGTTCCCTGCCTCCCCATATTCACTCAAACTAGCGCTGGAGCTTGCGTCGGCCATCCTCTTAACCGAAGGGAAATCGCCTGTGAGTGCGGATCAACACTGCCCCCCCCCCCCCCCCACCACAACCACCCACGAAATACACAGTCGCTCCACCTTACAGTATATCCTGCGAAGCGCTTCGGGAGACGTCTCGCAGACCGCGATCGGGCGCTGCACCATAACCTGCACGCTGCCTACCGTCGACCTGAATTCCTCCTCTTCTCTGGCCGGCCTCCCAGACGCGACGCCGAGGGGAGGGGCGCGCAAGTGCTCGCTGGCGGAAGAGGGAGAGGAGGACATCAGCGGGACGCAGTTTGTCTGCGAGACGGTCATCCGTTCGCTCACTCTGGACGAGGCCCCTGATTTGCTGCTTCGCCGCAGAGAGAAGCTGGAATCGCTGCACGGTGAGAGCTGGGGCCGGCTGGGGGGGCAGTAGGGTGGCCAGGGCTGTGGGAAGTCCAGCAGAAGACGTGATGTAAGGCGCTCTCTCAAATTCAGGGATTATTATTATTATTATTAATAGTCAAACGTGAGGCATTGCCTTAATCCCATCTGCTCACACTCTGTTAATCCGATCGCCCTGTTTTTTTTATTTATATATATATAGATTCCTCGCAAGAAGTGCAGGAAGCCTTCAGCTCCGATCCCATTAAAGAGGAAGTGCTTCCCGACAAAACCTGCCTGAGTCCCGCTTCCGTTCCAGCCCAGACCGGGTCGACCCAGGAAGAGACAGCGCAGCCGGTGACCGGTAACCAAACTTAGTGCCACTCCCTTTAACCGTGGGACACTTGCCGCTACGCGCAATTGCCTGCCGTGTTTCTCCCGCAAAATACCCAAGACGATTCACTGTCTGACAGGCGTGATAAGGCGCGCTATCAAACGCGAGGATTAGTTTCAATCGCACGGTTAAATACGTATTTCGCCTCTTCAGAGAAGCTGGAGACCGACGTGGCTGCTGACTGTAACGGTGAACTGTCTGACGAGGAGAACGACGACGCACAGAGCCAGGGCTCTTCAGACTGCTCCGAGGATTACATCATCATCCTGCCCGACTGTTTCGACACGACCCGTCCTCTGGGAGACTCCATGTACAGCTCTGCCCTCTCCCAGCCGGGGGAGAGCGGTGGCGAGGGGGGAATAGAGGTGGTGTCGGACTCCGAGCTGACCGAGAGCAAAGAGGCCGATGCCAACAGCAGGACTCGGACACACAACGTCAACGACATGTTGTGTGCGTCTCAGACACTGGACACGGAGCCATTGACGCCAGAGGTGGTACCAGCACCGGTGCTCCCCCACAGGTAGGACTGTGAAGTTTGGTCTTTGCCTTTTTTATACAAACACATTGTGCGCTGACTATCAATGCCTCCGTATAGAAACTGGATCAGCGCTGCACACTCCTTCAGTCTCCGCTCGGTACCTCGTACTGAGTAACAAAATCGCTTTCCGCGGAGTAACAATGCCTCCAAATAACTAAATGTGGTCACACAATCCACGACTGTTTGTGGGACGTTGCGGTATGCAATCGGCTGCCCCGTTTCGTCCACAAAATACGCAGTCAACACACCTCACAGTATATTCTGTGAAGCGCTTTGTGACGTCTCAACGGCGTGATAAGGCGCTGTATCGAACGCAAGAGTCGTCGTTATTCAGCGGTGATGAGCAAGGCCCTCGAAACTTTTCTCTCGGACTTATTTTATTCTTTCCGCTGGAAGAAATGACTCGACTCTGCCCCAGCTGCAGCCTGACGAGGAATCAGAAACAGCTGCCGTGGTGAACGGAGACTCGAGGTGTTTGGACGCCCCGTGTGAGGGGTCACCGAGGTTAGGGAATACCAGGCGAGACCTCGACCCACACTCCAGGTAACCCTCACGGACGCATATACACACACACCCGTGCGCACACACATGCACAGGCGCTACTCACTGTCACTGCCTTTGGTGGGCTGAATTGTACAATGGGAATAGTTTGAGGTATTTTTTCCCCCCTCCCCCACCCCAATCGTGTCGAGTTTTAACAGCTGCGTCAATGTCACGTCTTGGAATAAGTCATGGAATCTTACAGCACAGAAGGAGTCCCACTCCTCACTCTTACCCTGTACCTTCTTCCTTCTGAAGTACCTATCCAATTCCCGTTTGAAAGCTGTTATCCAATCTGTTTCCTCCGGCCTTTTAGACCGTGGGTTCCAGACCGTAACAACTCAACGGTATGTTTAGTGTTGAGTAATTTGGGGAGTTGAAACTGTCGTGTTCATCCCAGCTCCCAGCGCTTAATTTGATGTGAGTAAATAATCTCTCCTACGAACTGAAGCCTTCTGTTTCCCTGCAGACACCCCAGTGGCCTTGCTGGTGGGCTGATGAAGGGCGCCCTGTCTGTAGCAGCCTCCGCCTATAAAGCTCTCTTTTCCGGAGAAACAACCGTGACTCAGGTATAATCTGGTGAAAGATAAAAGCGATTCCTTTCAGAGGAAGCTTTCGTTTGGACGTGGGTTCCCGGGTGTGCACCAAATGGGTGTGATGGGCTGCGCTGTGCCAGCTGATCTCTGGGTTTGGACTTAATGACTCTAGGTTCAGGAGTGGCGGGGGAGCTTCATGTTGATGTGCTGCTCTACAGTCACATAACTAGCCAACACCCTGTCCAGCCACACACCAGGATAATGGCCACTTGAGGGAAACAATAATCCTTGTATTTCATACAGCGCCTTATCATACTGAGACGTCTCTCAAAGCGCTTCCCAGGATATGCCGTAAAGTGTGGTGGCTGTGTACTTTGTGGGGGGGCGGAGGGGGGAGTCAGATGTCTGCAGGAGAGAAGAGAATTAGAGAATGTGGAGAAGAACATTAGCTCAGCAGTGACAGGTGGTCGTCTGCATTGACTGTGTGAAGTCCCAGTGATTCTACTGAGCATTTAGATGTGAGGATTGACTTAGCGATTGACCTTGCCCCCTCTCTCCCCCCTCTGTCCGGGCTCAGAGCGAGGCGACGGAGAGCCAGGTGGCCTCGCTGATGGACGTGCTGTTCGAGATGGGTTTCTGCGACCGCCCCCTGAACATGAGGCTGATGAAGAAACACAACCACAACCTGATCGAGGTGGTGACCGAACTGCTGAACATCAGTGACAACGACTGGTACGCAGAGAGGCACTGAATACCCGGCGATTCCTGCACCCACCCTCCACCCTTACCCACCCCCCCACCCCTCCACTCACCCATACCAACCACAACCACTTGCTCACCCACAGGGACTGTGCGGGCAGATACCCACAGCCCATTAATTCCGAGGATCAGTTCCCGACTGATTTTCACGGCATTTTAATGCTGGACACGGTCGTAATCGGACAAAGAAACTCTCACTTTTCTCTAGACCCTATTGATCCATGTTTTACTTTCATAGACTTCGGTGTTGTATAGGTTTGTATAAAGGCAAAATATTAAATGTGGATTAACAAACCTAGAAACATGAGCAGTGGGTTCAAAGTGAACCCTTTCTCGCGCCCCCCAACCCCCCCTTTCCCCTCCCTCTCTCCCTCCCTCCCCGGCTTGTTGTGAAAAGCAGACGGCTGTTCGGCGGTGATCGAGTGCGTTTCGAAACCTCTCCCGCGCCCGTTAGTTGGGCCTTCCAAGGCCTTCGAGTTTTACCTTTCGAGAGTCGTTATCTCGGGATTTAATGGACGCAGTGGTTTCGATGGCCTGTAGTTGCCGAGTTCAACCCTCGTCGGCACCGTGGCCGAGTGCGTTGTTCCCGTGCGTTCAGGCCGCCTGGACGGAGAGTTTAAAGTGTAGCTTTGCAGAAATAGTGTTGCAGTCACATCCCTTTGTTCCCCAAGTCGGACCCTCTAAAACCTTCTTTCACCCGGTCGGTGGAAGGCAGCAGTATTTGCGATTCACTCTAACCTGTTGCGGTCTGCCGAGAGCGCTCTGCTATTTCACTAAACTACGCCTCGCAGGGCTGCGGAGAGTTGAGAGCTCTTAACGTTTCTGCTGTGGCTTGTACTAGGATGCCTTGTTCAACAGCAGCTGTGTACTGTCCCTGGTGAACCACAGAAGGCCCCCGCTGGGAGATGAGTTCGATCAGGAGCCTCGTCCTCTGTCCCAGGAACGAGTAAAAAGCCTTCCTCTCCTCAGTCTTAAGTCTTTGAGCTTGTGTCATCTTCACCGATCGGTACCGCAGAGTGCGGGGGCTCTGGGTCCGGGTCAGCGGGGAGGGAGCTCTGATCAGTCTTGTGTCTCGTGTCCGCAGTGGGTTTCGGGGGCAGTGTAATCGGGGCCCGCTCGCTCCAGCACATCCCAATAAAACTGCCCGCTTTGTGATGTCCCTGCATTTTGGTTGCGAGGTTGCACTTTGAAGTGGAAAATGACGGATGTGTAGAAAGTGGAACTGTGTGTGTGTGTGTGTGTGTGTGCGGTGGGTGGGCGGGTGGTTGTGGGCAGGCGTAAGAGAAAAAAAATGTGTGTAAATAGTGTATGATTACCAGCGCGCAGAGACATAAACAACTTGTAAGGTTTTGCTCCTGACCTCTGACTGTGCTGCATTAGTTGAATCAGTTGAATACTGTTTGATTTTCCTCTTGATCCCTGTTTCTTCCCTGACCCCCACCCCCCACCCCCCCACCCCCCCCACACTGTCGAAGCTGGATAACAGCCACGGCACAGAAATACTAGGACTGCTTCAGTTGGTTCCTGGCGTATATAATGATGCTCGTGGTTTGGTATGTTGAAATTCAAACGGATGTGTAGAATTATTTTGCAGATCTCAAACTGACAGGAAAGCTTCGCCGCGTGGACTTTTATCTGGGCGTAAAATCAACTGTCGGTGATTATATCTGTCTGTGTAACCGCTGTGCTTCGTAGCAGGCTATCTGTGTAATCTGCCTGTCACAGGGGAAAAATAGCAGTTTTCAGGGCAAGGTCATCTCCGCTGAATGGTTTTACTGTAACTCTTGTAACTCTAGAGCCGACTAATATACACAGCACTGCTACACCCACACACACACACACACACACACAGTCGCTGCAGTCAGATGATGATTTAATTTCCGCGTGACTGATTCCACATGGGTGGACTTGAGAGAGAAAATCCAATAGGTTAAACCTAGTCTGGTTGACGGTAGGGGTGCTCTGCCCGTCATCTAGTCGAGTATCATTCACCCATTATCCTCGTTAAATAAACCGGGTCTCCTCCATCGCTGACTGCTGTCGACTTTGTCTTTGCGTTCCCGAAGGATGGAAAGCTACAGGAAGGGCCTCGCAGGAAAACTCCCAAGGCCACAGCCTTTCTGGATTTCAGCCGCCGTTGCCAGACTTAGGGCATCAATCGCTTCCAACAAAAATAATAATAATCTGGTCACTCAGTCCGCGGCTGTTTGTGGGGGGGAAACGCTGCTGTGCGCGATCGGCTGCCGCGTTTCGCCCGCGAAACGCACAGTCGATTCGCTTTACACTATATTCCGTGAAGCTCTTTGAGAGGTCTCGGCAGACGTGATACGGCGCAGTATCGAACGCAAGGATTATCATTATTATTAGAAGCCCCGACACGGCTCTCTCGCTTGGCCTACAATAATAATTTTGCACATAATTTATCTCGAAAAACACAAGTACTTTTAAGGCAGAAGATTAATGCTTTGGAAACGTGTGATTTGCACAAGATGCCACAGTTGTTCGCATGTAATTGTTTCGACGACTTTTTAGATTCGTTCTCTTCATCGATGTTACTCTGCGCACCGGTATCTTTACTTTCTCCCCCCCCGCCCGCCCGCCCCTCTTTTTTTTTAAAAAAAAGAAGTAATGTAAATGGCTTCCTTCGGCCTAGATGAATCTATTAAAAACAATTGTTTAAATAAAATGGAGCCCTCGCCTGTTCTTATTCAAGTTTCCTTACTCCGCGCACCTCTGCTTAACCGGCAATAGGTAGGAGTTCGGTCGTTGGTCGATCGGCGGATCACTTTTTCGGGGGTAATAACCCCTTCCAAAAAAAAAAAAAAACTCCCATCTTAACAATTTGTGGGGCGCTGCTCTGCGCGATTGGCTGCCACCTTTCGCCCACAAAACCTACAGTCACTCCACTCACTTCACAGTCTATTCTGTGAAGCGCTTTGAGATGTCTCGAATTTTTCTTGCGTTCGGCCCTCTCGAGCGGGTCCTGCCGTCCCGCTCGACCGGGGCTGAGGAAGGTGGGAGTCGCCTTCGTTTTGGGAGCTGCTTCTCCCCGAAGGGGAAGCGGGGAACACCGAAGATCGGAGAGGCTAAGACGAGGTGGAATTCTGGGGCCCTGGCTTTCACCTCAGCCCCGGCGGTGAGGATCCCCCACGCGTCGGGAGTATTATCTCCCTCGCCCTTCGCACCGATGGATTGCTTGGAAGACTCCGCGGGTGGGTTTGATGTGGGTGACCTGGGTTCCCAGAGCGGAACGAGACACTCGCGCACACACGCATGCGCACACGCACGCGCGCACACACTGGCACAGCAGGTCAGAGAGCCGCGCTGCTTCACGCGCTAACGGAGAGTCTCACGGTGGTGGGGTTCGATTACCGGTGCCATCGCTGCGGCGGCTCCACCATATGTTTCTGCTTAAAGTTACACGTCAGGAACCTCGCGGGTTTCCGTGCTCCACACACGCACACACGCACACACACACACGACACACACACGCGCCTCTGTTTTCTAATCGGTAAATAACAACCTGGTTGTCAATCGATTGGCGGATCGCTTTCCCCGGGGGTAACAGCAATGGTCACTCAAACCTACCGACTGCTCGTGGGCCACCGCTGTGCGCAATTGGCCGCTTCGAAATGCCCCCGAACGCTTATTGCAGCGGCTCTACAGTCTCGCATCACCGTTGTGTGACGGAGGGTGAAGAGGATCTCTCAAGACTGGTGGTCTACGGAAATCACCCACAAAACACACAGTCACTGCACTTTGCCGGGTATTCCGTGAAGCGCTTTGAGACGTCTCGGAAGACACGATAAGGCTTATTATTATCATCATCATCTGGACCCTGAGGGAAATTCTGCCCCTGTGTGGGGGGGTGGTGGGGGGGGAGGTGTGTGTGTGTGGGGGGGGAGTTGGGGGTGTGGGGGTGTGTGTGGGTGGGGGGTGTGTGGGGGTGTGGGTGTTGGGGGTGTGTGTGGGTGGGTGGGGGGGGTTGGGGGGTGGGTTTAGGTTTGTAAATGTTTTTTGAGGTGTGAGTGTGGAGTGTGTGGTTCTGAGTAATTGGGGGATGAATGCTGTGTGTGTGAGAGACAGAAAGAGAGGTATTGTGGTGGGGTTAGAGCTGTCTGTCTGTCTCTCTGTCTGTCTCTCTCTGTCTGTCTGTGTCTCTCTGTCTCTCTCTCTCTGTCTGTGTCTCTCTGTCTGTCTGTCTCTCTGTCTCTCTCTCTCTGTCTGTCTCTGTCTCTCTGTCTGTCTGTGTCTCTCTGTCTGTCTGTGTCTCTCGTCTGTCTGTGTCTCTCTGTATGTGTCTCTCTGTTTGTGTCTCTCTGTCTGTGTCTCTCTGTGTCTGTCTGTCTGTGTCTCTCTGTCTGTCTGTGACTCTCTGTCTGTCTGTGTCTCTCTGTCTGTCTGTGGCTCTCTGTCTCTCTGTCTGTGTCTCTCTGTCTGTGTCTCTCTGTCTGTGTCTCTCTGTCTGTCTGTGGCTCTCTGTCTGTCTGTCTGTCTGCCTTTCTCTCGACAGTTTGCAGTTACACAGATCCATCACAAAGCGGCGACAGCACTGGGAATTGGACAGACGTAGTCGCAAGAAGGACTTTGCCACTGAGGGGTGAGTGGATTTGCTGAGGAGCAAAGCACGAAAGGCTTTATTGCTGTTCCATTTAACTGCAAAACATTCTCGGGGGAGTGGGGGGGGAGGTGGGGGGGGGGGGAATACCAGCTTTCACCCCCATCACCCCCCCACCCCATCACCCCATCACCCCCACACCCCATCACCCCCCACCCCATCACCCCCACACCCCATCACCCCCACACCCCCAGAGCCTCTGGTGTGTGACTTCCTGAGATCAGCTGTTTTGAGGGTGTGTGTGTGTGTCTGTCTGTGTGTGTGTGTGTGTCTGTCTGTGTGTGTGTGTGTGTGTGTCTGTATGTGTGTGTGTCTGTATGCGTGTCTGTCTGTGTGTGTGTGTCTGTGTGTGTGTGTGTCTGTCTGTGTGTGTCTGTCTGTGTGTGTGTCTGTCTGTGTGTGTGTCTGTCTGTGTCTGTGTGTGTGTGTCTGTGTGTGTCTGTCTGTGTGTGTGTGTGTGTCTGTGTGTGTGTGTCTGTGGTGTCGCAGGAAAGAAAAGAAAAGGAAAGAGAAGCCATCAGAGATTAGCACAGATCCTCCCCCCATCCACCCCTCAGCCTCTGCTCCTGTTCCCTATCCATTCCCAGATTGGATTAGGTTGGAATAACTCTTCCCCTCCTCACCCTCTCTCTCTCTATCTCCATCTCTGTGTGTGTCTGTCTATCTCCTCCTTCTCTCTCTCTCTCTCTTTCCTCTCTCCCTTCCTCCCTCTCTCTCTCCTCCCAATTTTAGCTCCAAATCTAACTCCTGGCTCCTTCCCCCATCCCACTCCTGGAATCCCAATGGTGTCACTCACTACTGGGGGTTTGCATTGACTGTGTCCTCCACGTTGAGGATTCTTGGGGTTTAGCTCCAGTGAGTGAGGAAAGGGGGAAAGAGACAGACAGAGAGAGGGAGAGAGAGAGAGAGAGAAGGAGAGAGACCAGCCTTGCGAGGAGATCTTAGCTGTTCCCATGACCAGAGACTGTAGATGTTAACCATTGCCAGGCCCACAGCTTTACATAACCTGGAGAAGCGTGTATTAACCTGTTCAATCCTACAGAGAGAGAGAGAGAGAGAGAGAAAGAAAGAGAGAGGAACAGAGAAAGAGAGAGGAACAGCGAAAGAAAGAGCGAGCGAGAGAGAGCGCATCCTATACACATATATATAATCATTATCCTTCCATTTGATACCACATCAGGACTTCTTCAAAGGGCGGCACTCCATTCACTGTAAAGCCAAGTGACTGTGTATGTTGCCGGCGAGTGTATATTGTGTGGACCTGTAGCTCAGCGGTTAGAGAGCTCGCCGTGCGAGCCAGAGGACCCGGGTTCGATTCCCGGGCCAGGGCGAGACCTCGAGGCGAGGTTCCTTCCTCCGCGCACACTCACACACTCACTCACTCACACTCACACACACACACACACACACACACACACACACACACTCACTCACGCGCGTGCCTCTGTTTACCCAGCGGTAAGTAGGCACCCAGTTGTTAGTCAATTGGCGGATCGCTCTCTCAATTAAAAATCCCTCCTCCCCCACCCCAAAAAATGCGGTCGCTCAATCCACGACTGTTTGTGGGCACAATCGGGGGTGGGGGGGGGTTTGGGGGACCTTCTGCAGATGCTGTGCGACAACCCACCGTGTTACTTGCTCCCGCAGGACACCATGGGGAAAGCCTTGTCCCACTTGTCGCCGTCCTACAGAGCGAGCAAGGAGGGCGACTCGGGGCCCATCCTGGGGGAGGCCGACGGCAAAGGGTGTTCGGAGCAAGAGAGCGAGGAGCGTGGCCAGGCGGAGGGCAGCACACACCTGCCCTACGTCGAGTTTGTGGGGAGAGAGGTCAAGTGCCCGTCGTGCCAGGGGACAGGACGCATCCCTCGAGGTGGGCAAACACCATCCCGACAGTCACGGCTCCGCTTGCCTTTTCGCGTCGGGCGGATGTCCCCCCACCCCTACCCCAACCCCCCCCCCCCCTCCACCCCACCCAGGTCCTGTCCTCCCGACGTGAAAAGCGCATGTCAAACGTCATGTTGTTGTTGTTCTTTTTGCTTAAGAGAAATATCTTTTTGGGGTAAAAAAGATTGTTTTGTTTTTGGGGATGAAATAAAAGTTTTCTTTCTTTCTTTTTCTTTCCTTCCTTTTTTCCTTCTTTCCTTCCTTCCTGTTCTGTTGTGTGTTTCAGGGCAGGAGAACGAGCTGGTGGCTCTGATCCCCTACAGCGACGAGAGGCTGCAAACATGGCGCACGTCAGTGCTCATAGGTTTTACTTTAAAAAGTCTGTGTGCGTGTGTGTGCGCGTGTGTGTGTCTGTGTGCGCGTGTGTCTGTGTATGTCTGTGTGCGTGTGTGTCTGTGTGCGCACGTGTCTGTGTGTCCGTGTGCGCGCGTGTCTGTGCCCACGTGGGTCTGTGCACTGACTGTGCCTGTATGGTGTCTGGCTGTGCGCTGTCTGTGTGCCCGTCTGGTCTCTGGCTGTGCGCTGTCTGTGTGCCCGTCTGGTCTCTGGCTGTGCGCTGTCTGTGTGCCCGTCTGGTCTCTGGCTGTGCGCTGTCTGTGTGCCTGTCTAGTGTCTGAGACAGAGAGAGCGAGAGGGCAAAACTGACTGTATAATCCACACCCCCTGGCTTTTGCACGTGTAGTTTTTTTTGGGGTGGGGGGGGAAGTGGTCGCTTGGGAGTCAGTGTGGGGGGCGACGTGCCGGCAGCCAGGAGCGCTGGCTCGCTGCGACGCTCCTTGGGATGTCCGCCCGACGCGCAAAGGCTCTGCGTACGCCTGTAACTTGTTGTCGTTGTTGTCGTGGTTGTCTTCCCCCAGGAAGCTGTACGTGCTGATCGCTGTGGTGACCAGCCTCCTGCTCAGCGGGCTCGCCATCTTCTTCCTGTTCCCGCGCTCTATTGAGGTGGAGCACGTGGGGGTGAAGTCGGCCTACGTCAGCTACGACCGGCCCGAACACGCGGTCCACCTTAAGATCACGGTAAAAAAAAGTAACGCTCTTCCGCGCCCGATAAGCTCCGAAATTCCGGCCCGCGGGATCGGCGCCGCCTTAAGCGGGCGATGGGATTTGGGGAACTTCTTCAATCTGGTCTGAATGGTTCCTAATGATGATGATGATAATAATAATAATAATAATTTGGTCACTCAATCCACGGCTGTCTGTGGGGGACGCTGCTGTGCGCAATTGGCCGCTGAGCTTTGTTCGCCCACACAATACACAGTCGCGTCACTTTACAGCGTCTCCCGTGAAGCGCTTTGAGGAGTCGCGAAGGCGTGATAATCAGTTGACCGTATATTTTGTGGCAAACCGTAGTGGGAGGGGGTGGAGGGGAGGGAGTGGGGAGGGGGGGGGGGTGGTGGAGTCTCCATCCGGTTACGGTGCGCAGTTAACGTGCATTCATTTCCCTTTGCCAAACGCTCTCCTTCGCAGAATATCTTGAACGTCACCAACCACAACTTCTACACGATCAGCATCACAGACCTGTACGTCCAGATTGTGTTCTTCAGTGAAGTGATTGGGACCATCAATGTCAAGAACACTACAGCCATCAGGGCCCTGGGAGGGGGGCAGGTAAGGTCCGGCTCCCGTCCTCGTCCCAGCTTGGGCGATCGGTACTGCTCGCACGTCAGGGAGGGGCATCAATCACGTGGAGTCGTGTAGCTCAGCGGCCGGGGCCCCTCGCCTCGGAGGCGAGAGGATGTGGGTTCGATTCCTGGGCGGGTCAGGGCAAAACCTTGGGCAAGTTTCCTTCCTCCACACACACGAGCCTCTGTGTAGCCAGTGGTTTAGTCGGTTGTTAAATTGATTGGTGGATCGCTTTCCAGGGGGTAATAATCCCTCTCCCCAAAACATGACAACAATAATAATAATTTGGTCAGTCAATCCACGACTGTTTGTGGGACACCGCTGTGCGCAGTTGGCTGCCGTATTTCTCTCTCTTTCTCTCTCTCTCTCGGTCTTCTGGCAGACCGCCACCGCAGGTAAAGTTCGGGGTGCTGACGTTGAGGCTGTTGTGGAGATTACTGTGAGATGCTGCTCCCCCAGTGTGAGGGGCGCTATATAAGAGCAAGTTGTTGTCGTCGTCGTCGTCGTCGTTCGGCTGCTGCGTTCACTGTTTGCGTTTGTTCCATTTTGTTTTTATTTCTGCTTAGATTTTCTACACAGTGGAAGCCTTGTTAGAAGAAACTGGCATGTAGTGAGTACAACACTGCACTGACCTGCGCTTGTGTGTTTATATACATATATATGTATATATATATGTATATATATATTGTCTGTTCAGAGCTCAGTGCGTGAGGAGTGGGCGAGTGATCAGATGCCACACCGGTCGGGCGGCGGGCGGGGGGCTGACGCAGGGGGGGTCACGCGTTCGGATACCCTTGGCCCAGAATGTCACCTCGTCTCAGCCTGGTTTAAAATGGGTTAAAAAAAAAATTCCGCTGATGGGAACTGCAGGCACACCCATCGCCCGAAGCAACACGGATGGAAAATTTTATCCCCCGGAATTAGGGAAAGTTCCACCCCCCCCCCCTCCACCCCCCCACCCACCCACTTCGGTTTGTGGAAGGCGGTTTTCCAAGAGGGCTCGTGGGATTCGGGTTACTGACCCTAACACCTGGTTTCCTTTCCCTTTAAGCCATTACTGCACCATCCCAGAGATCAAAGTGCACAACATTGTCATCTCCATCCAGTAAGTCAACCTTACGTTTGGGCCAAACTATTACTGTTGTTGTTACTATTTTATTTATTTATGTTCTAACATTAAAAAAGTCACTTTTATTTATCGGGTCTCCGTATACAATGTATGTCGTGTTCTGGGGAGAAATGTAAAGAGGGCAGAATCTTTACCACTTGCTTTCTCTCTCGCGCTCTTCTCTCACTCTCTCACTCTCTCTCACTCTCTCTCTCTCTCTCTCTCTCTCACACCCTCTCCGTCTCTGGCAGAATCACGGTGACAGCCTGGTACCTGTCCCACTCCGAGCAAGTGTCCATCAACTCCTACCAGTACGTGGATTGCGGCTCCAACACCACCAGCCTGCAAAGCCCTTACTACCCTGATCAGAGCTCCCGCCCGGTGCTGCTCAGCTAACCCCAAAGCTTCGTGTCCTTCCCAACACACAGTGCATCCTCTGTGTGTGCGCCTGTCATCCCTGTGGCCTGATCAACACATCATATCAGCCAATAACTGCCCCCCCCTCGCCCCCTCCGTCTTCTTCCCCGCTTTCCTAGTTGTCTCCCTCCCGCCCTACCGTCAGCCTCTCTGCCCCCATCCCTCAGTCCCTCCGCCTCGCTCCCTCTCTCGCCTCCTTCAAGGCCCGTCTCAAGACCCTCGTCTTCAACCGCGCCCCTTCGGTCGCACCTACCCCCCACCCTCCCTCTGCCCTCCAGCCCCTCCTGATCCCAACCCCCAGTTCGGGGCCAAATCCCCAAGACTGTCCTACGCCTTGGGTCATCCTCCCGACGTGAAACGTGCTGCGTAAGTGTAATTTGTTGTTGTTGTTGTTGTTGATTTGATGCTTCACTGGGGGGAGTCGGTTAACCCACAGAGGGTCGCGATTTGCACAGAGCATTGTGTTTTGCTGCTGTTGTGGGAATTAAATCCTGTGCCTTCTGAAAAGTAAAGGCAAACTCCAGTCGAGGACCGGGTGGAATTTCGGAGCCTCCGGGTGGGCGCGAGCGGCAAAGCGATGGGATTTAGAGGGGTGTTACGTGTGCAGGAGAAATCCTGCAAAGGAACCTTTTCTTTTTGAGGATGTTACTCTTTTTAACGATGGTTTTATCCTCCCTGCCTTGGGTGGGGGGTAGCCCTCACTCCGTGCTCGGGTTCTCTCTCTCTCTCTCTCTCTCTCTCGCCGGGCTCGGCAGGTGAAAGGGTTAACAGAGTGCCTGCGCTTTATAGGAGCAGGAGGGGGGGGCATTCAGCCCCCTCCAGCCTGTTCCGCCGTTCTACTAGATCACTGTCATTGAAATAAACGTGTGTGTCAACTCGCAGCGTGTCAGGACTCTTCATTGTCAAAGACGTAGGGTTTGGAGGTGAGACTTAAAGACAGACAGGGTGTGTGTACGGGTGGGGGGGGGGCGAGGAAGGTGGGGGGTGGTGTGAGACGGAGAGCTAGAGAGAGGGATGTCCATTGATTGCGGGTGGGGGGGGGGGCGATGAGAACTAAAAGCTCGGTCACCGAGGAATGCGGGGAGTGGGAGTGGGAGTGGGAGGGGTGGGGGGAGTTGTGGGGAGAGCTGTAGGTCACTGAACATAACAGAGTAACGCCCAGTCTCTCCATATCCCCAGTAATGTTAAACCGCACAAGGAGACATAAGCAGGAGGCGGCGTCCCTCCAGGGAGAGAGAGAGAGAGAGAGAGAGAGAGAGAGAGAGAGAATTCCATTCCAACAAACTCTCTCTGGGATTTCCACGTGTAGGTGGGATGCATGGAATTCTCGGCCTGGTTCGCAGCCTCGTAAAGCACGTGATGGGACATCCTTCCGACAAGGGTCCGACATCTGACTGACCAAACGTACCCCAAAAAAACACGTCCCCGTTTCCTCAGCGGCTAAGCTGCCGATTGGAGAGGGAGGTCGGGTTGTGCGGCGAGAACGGGAGTCGGAGAGCGCGGCTGAGCCCAAAGGGTTTTATTGACTGCGATGGGTTCGTGTCAACCGGCCCTCGGTGGGGTCGCTTGGCTTCTCCTACAGCTGTCGGTCACTTCACTCCACATCACATCGTTGCTGCAGTTGAACACTGGGGGCAGTGGTCGAACTAAATTGCCGGGAGGTTCTCGGCTGTGAGGAAGTTATTGTCCTGGTGAGTGCCGCGTGGTGCCGTGCCGTGCCGTGCTGTGCCGTCAGGCTGACTCCTCGCTCCATCTCTCACCACTGCTGAACGTAGTCTGTGGACTGACGTCGGGGGGGAAAAAAGCAACACGTCAACGGGGGTTCGGGAATAAAGAACTTGCCTTGTTCCCTTCCCTCCCCGCTCGGTGTTTCGCCCACGAAAATACACAGTCAATTCACTCCACGGTGTATCCCGTGAAGCCCTTTGAGACGTCTCGAAGACGTGATAAGGCGCTGTATAAATGCGAGGATTATTATTATTATTATTATTATTATTAAGCAGGTTTGACTTCCCCGTGTTAAAAATGATTACAAAGCCGAGCAGCCACTCACTGTGTATTTCTTGGATCTCGGTCCTCCAAGTTCACTTGCGGTTGAAGTTTCTGGGACAACTGGGAGAGGGAGAGAGAGAGAGAGAGAGACAGTAACACAGGGAGTATGAACAAGGAGAGGAGAGAGTGGGGGATCGGCAGAGATGGATGTGCAGCGCACACAGCCCCTCCCGTCGCTGTTTGTACCTTTTTTCTCCTCCTGACTTGGCGGAGGCTCCACAGCTGCTTTAGGTATTGTCAAGAGTTTGTATTCGCCCTGAAACCCACAAAACACACAGTCACTACACTTTGCAGCGCATCCCGCGAAGCGCTTTGAGACGTCTCGACAACGTGACAAGGCGCTGCGTCAAATGCGAGGAGTATTATGATTAATATTATTGCTGAAACGCCGGGTCAGGTTATGAAATGAGACTACCATCCCAGGGGAGCCACTCCGTCGCAGCACCCCCCACCCCACCCCCCACCCCACCCCACCCCACCACCCCCACCCCTCCCCCCCTGATGAATGGAAAAATGATGGGGTTGGGAGGGGGGAGATTTTGCACACCCCTTTGTTATTGGTCCTGGGGGGGAATGTTAGAGGTTAGTGAATGATCCGCCGCTGCTCAGGTTCTCTCGACTGACAAACGCTGAGAGGGAAACCTGATCCTATTGTTCAGAGACGGCGGAGCTAATTCATTTAACTCATTAAATATCTAACCTTTCCACTGAAGGACGGCGCCTCTGACAATGCAGCGTAAACACTACCCCCCACCCCCACACACACACAACTTGCGCCACACCCCCCACCCCCACCCCACCCCCGTCGTTGGGATCTTAAGCTATCTTGAACCGGCAGAGAGGGAGAGCGCTGTAGACTGAACCCGTGTATTTCTACCCATAACAGTAGAATTACATCCCTGACTTCCCAACAATTAAATCATTGTTTTCTTTATAACTTAAGAAATGTTTTTAGGTTAACAGTCTCTCCATCGCTAAACTGCAAGTTTGGACAAACAGCATTTTGCAGAATCCCTTAATAATAATATTAATAATAATAACAACAACAACAATAATAATCCTTGCATTTGACACAGCGCCTTATCACGCCGTTGAGACGTCCCAAAGCGCTTCGCGGGACACGCCGTCAGGTGAATTGACTGCGTAATTCTGCGGGCGGAACGCGGCAGGACGACTGCGCCCGGCGGTGTCCCGCGGACAGCCGCGGATCGAGCGGGCGGGCGGGCGGGCGAGCAAACTGTTATCAGTTATCATCCTTTCTCGCGTTACCTCCTCCTTTGCTCGCTTGTCCATCAGCCTTTGCTTGCGCCGTGCTTCCCAGTGCAATGAAGACATGTGTTCTTTTTTTTAAAAAATTGCAGACAGAGAGACAGACACAGGGACAAAGAATATATATATATATATATATATATGAGAGAGAGAGAGAGAGAGATAGAGAGAGGACATCAGATGGAAACTGAGGCCAGGACAGGGGTGGAGGAGAAGCGATGTGCTGGGAACGGGGTTGATTGACAGGTCCGGAGGATGCTTATAAATTTAAGCCGTCACTTAGCAACGAGCGACGCCAAATATACCACGTGCTTCTCGACTCTCTACCCCCTCCTCTCTCCCTCCCTTCCCTCCCCTCACCCTGACCATTCCCCCCCCTCCTCGCTCCCTCCTTCCCTCCCTCACCCTGACCATTCCCCCCTCCTCGCTCCCTCCCTTCCCTCCCCTCGCCCTGACCATTCCCCCCCCTTCCTCGCTCCCTCCCTCCCTCACCCTGACCATTCCCCCCTCCTCGCTCCCCCCTTCCCTCCCTCACCCTGACCATTTCCCCCCTCCTCGCTCCCTCCCTTCCCTCCCCTCACCCTCACCCTGACCATTCCCCCCCTCCTCGCTCCCTCCCTTCCCTCCCCTCGCCCTGACCATTCCCCCCCTCCTCGCTCCCTCCCTTCCCTCCCCTCACCCTGACCATTCCCCCCCTCCTCGCTCCCTCCCTTCCCTCCCTCGCCCTGACCATTCCCCCCCTCCTCGCTCCCTCCCTCCCCTCACCCCTCACCCTGACCATTCCCCCCCCTCCTCGCTCCCTCCCTTCCCTCAACTCACCCTGACCAGTGTGTGTGTGTGTGTGTGTGGGGGGGGAGAGGGAGTGGGGGGAGATTTATTTTGGGGGGTGATTAGTTTTGGACAGAAGCCAAGGTGCGTTTCCCTGACGAGCCACCAGGCAGCGCCCTGTACCCAACTCACTGAGAGGAAGACCAATAATGGAGTCAGTGTCCCCACAAACAGCCGCGGATTGAGTGGCCAAACTATCACCACTTTTATTTAAAAGGGATTGTTACCCCCAGGAAAAGCCATCCTCCGATCGCCTAACAACCGGGTTCTTCCTCCTTACGGCCGGGTAAACAGAGGCAGGCGTGTGCGTGTGCGTGTGGAGTGAGGAAACGCGCCCATCGTGTTCTGCCCTGCCCGGGAAGCGAACCCGGGTCCTCTCGCTCGTGAGGCGAGGGCTCGAACCCCCGGAGCTACAGGACTCCATGTAAATGAAGACCACCCTTCGGCCGATTTGATCTCATCCTTCCAAGAATACCGACCCTACCGTACTTCAATTTCTGGTCACTCAATCCACGACGGGGACGCCGCCGTGCGCAATTGGCTGCCGCGTTTCGCCCACAAAACATACAGTCACTACACTTTACAATATATCCTGTGAAGGGCTTTGAGACGTGATCTCACACTGACAACCTGTGATGTGTGGATTGGAGTAGGACCTTACAATCCCATGTCACACTGCCCGGGACCTCAGACAGTTTGCCTACCTATGTAATGCGTTACTTCTACCCCCCACCCCACCCCACCCCACCCCCTGCCTCCTGCGATGGGAGGTCTTTTAAATGAAGACAGGAGTCCGGCTATGATGTCTCCCTCCCTCTGAGTTCACACGTGTTGGACAAATGCCCCCTTCCAACCCCCCACCCCCCAACACACACACACACACACACACCGTGACGTACATCTGATCAAAGGAAACAGGAGGTTGAAGGCTCGACGGCTGATCGCGGGCGGAGGTGGGGGTGGGGGTTGGGGATGGGAGAGGAACAGCCGAACGGGAGCGTGAGACAAGAACAATAACGCAGTGCAGTCGCCCGCGATAACACCTCACAGTGCTTTGAGGTTTTTTTCTAATGATTATCATCAGCGTCATTGGATGATAGTCTCAGATTGACCAGTCGAGCCTGAAATTCCCGGCCAGGTGTTGGTGTTGGTGTTGGTGTGTACACACGCCCTCACTCCCTGGTTACCAGGGACTTGCGTGAGCTCACGGCTGACACGCAGAGTCACCGCATCTCCTGCCGTCAGCTGCGATACAGTCAGGAAACTCCACTACATACAATGGGGTACAGTAGTACACGGGGCGTTCGGGACGTAGGTACGAGCGACCGTCAGGAAGGTGGAGGGCGGACTGGAAAGGACCGCTTTTTTGGGGCTTTTTTTTCCCGCCCGGCGTTTCCGACGTTCTTACACGTTGGTCACCACCGCCGCCAACAACGACAGCTTGGATTTCACACGGCGTCCCTCGCGCACGTTAGCGTCCCGGCGCGCTTGAAGGGAGAGAGAGGGTTTACAAGTTATTGAGTGGGAGTGTGACCCGTTCTCTGATTTTGTTAATGATAATAATAATAATAATAATAATCATAATCCTCGCAATTTGACCCAACCCCTCACACCACCAAAAAGGTTCTCGGAGCATCTCAAGGGTCTCAGCTGCGGTGACACTGGTAGAGGGCGGTTTGTGCCCAGCAAACAGCTGCGTGAAGTGAAGTGAAGTGACTGTTTTATTGCATCTGGAGGGCTGCTTTGCAGGAACACGCTCGTCCCTGAATAATCAATGGCAGGCCAGCACACGGCTGTGTTTGACGCAGTTTCCACCCCCCCACCCCACCCACCCACCCCAAACCCAACCCCCAACCCCAAGTAGGAAAAAAAAATGCCCTCCCAGTAATTGTGAATCTCTCTCCTCCAGAATAGTTGGAATAGTTGTCAATGAGTGATCACAAAGCAAGACTGGGCACATTCCTGACATTTTTTCCAAATGGGAGGGAGGGAGACTGACGTCAGGTAGTGAGGCGGTCCCTTTAAGGACCTTGTGAGTGATGCTGTGGGTGTGAGAGGGAGTCACTGGGAGAGGGATGTGGAGGATGGAGAGGGATCTGCCTTTGGGAAGGACTTGACAAGGGGGGGGAACTCTCTACAGAGAACTCTCTACAGCTCATTCACACAAGGACTTGCCCTGTCCAGATCCATCTTAGTCCCCCAGAGAGAGGGAGAGTGAGACACACACACACACACACACACACACAGACAGCATCACTCACCTGGACCACAAGCATCATTGAAAGGTATGGAACATAACACTTTAATTCATATTTCTGCTGTTTCCCTCTCCCCTCTCTCCCTCTCTCTCTCTCCTTTACTCCATCCACCATCCCATCCCACTCGTGTCTGAAGCTCTTTATTTTATTCTTCTTAAAGAAAACCCCATTGACCCCAAAAAAAAACCAGAGGGTGTTTCAAAACCAGATCTTTTTCTCTGTCTCTCTGTATAAAATGTACAGGATATGTAAAAATAACATCCCCACAACCTGATCGTTGTATGGGAATGACATTTGCAAATAATTCGAATAATAACGATAATATTTATTGCTATCACTGACAACAATAAGTTAAGAGGGAGATGTGCGTCACGAAACAAAAATATTTTTGATCTCTTGTTTTTTAAAAGTAAAACTGGTAGCGATTTATGTTTTGAAGCGCAGTGTTTGCAAACAGCTTTGGGCTGAAACTTGCTGTCTTCTGGTGTACTTACAGAGGGAACACTGCAGGTGGGAAGAAAGTAGCTGTAACAACAGCAACAATAATAATAATAATTATAATAATACTAATAACCTTTGCATTTGACGCAGCGCCTCATCGCGTCTTCGAGACGTCTCAAAGCGCTTCACGGGATACACCGCAAAGCGAATTGACGGAGGATTTGGTGTTTGGTTTGAGTCTCCAAACCTCACGTCCCACCTACACGTGGAAACTCCGCAGATAGATTGTGGGGATGGAATGCGCTCTCTCTCTCTCTCTCTCTCTCTCTTCCTGGAGGGGCTCATCCTTCTAACCTAATTCGGGAAAGTATTTAGACGCGGGTCGGCAAGGGCCAAGCCTTCATTTAGGGGTGGGGGTTCCAGTTAGTCGGAGGTGTAAGCGAGGCACGGTTGGGGTTAACGTCAGCGAGACCGGGAGGAACCGGGAGGGATGATAGTGCTGAATGTGCGGTGTTTGTTTTTCCTTCGATGCTCCATTGAATCCTCCCCCGACTCGGCAATCGGGGAAGCTTTGACTTGTAAATAAATAAGCTTCTCTGGAGTTCCTGTGGGGCGGGCGCCCCGGTGGTGGGAAGGGGTGAGGGTGGGAGGGGAGAGGGGAAGGGGTGTGCGTGTGCGTGTGCGTGTGTGTGAGATTAGCCCTGTTTGCTTTCCGAGCCCCGTACGATGTCCGTTGTCCTCTGTAAGCGCTCTGGGACGCTGCCCTGCGTGAGGTGGGCTAAATATATGCAAGTTGTTGTTGTGTTGTTGTTGTTGTGTTGTTGTTGTTGTTGTTGTTGTAATTAACCAACTCCTTTGCCTCTTTGTTTAGATCCTGTGGACGGAGGTTGTGTTCCTCGGATTGGAAAGGACTAAGTCTGGTGCGTGATTGTCGCCAGACACGACCCGATTTCAGAAGCCCCTCCACACCCCCCTCCCCACTTCCCCCCCCCCCCCCCCCACCACCACCACCGGAGGAGGCTCAGGAAGGAATCAGGTGGGGGAGGGTTTCCCCGTGGACGATGGGGAATCAGTTGACTCCGAGTGGGACATTTCTCCCCCCTTTCCAGACCCTACACGTGGTGGTGATCGGGTTGGATTGTGCGGGGAAGACGGCATTGCTTTATCGGCTCAAACTGCGGGAGTTTGTGGAGACCATCCCCACCAAAGGCTTCAACACCGAGAAGGTCCGGGTCCAGCTGGACGGGGGCGGGGGCGCCAGTGGGGTGCCGAAGGCCGTGACCTTCCAGGTGTGGGACGTGGGGGGGCAGGACAAGCTGAGGCCCCTGTGGAGGTCGTACACCCGTCGCACGGACGGCATCGTGTTCGTGGTGGACTGCGCGGAGAGCGAGCGGCTGGAGGAGGCCAGGGTCGAGCTCCACAAGATCAGCCGCATGGCGGAGAACCAGGGTGTCCCCGTCCTGGTCCTCGCCAACAAGCAGGACCTGCCCGGGGCGGCTACAGCGGGAGACACGGAGCGAGCGCTGGGCCTGCACGAGCCGGGCTCGCCCGTGTCCCTACCACGTGCAGAGCTCCAGCGCCGTGAGCGGGCACGGCCTCCAGCAAGGCCTCGAGAGGCTCTACCACATGATCGCCAAGCGCCAGAAGTTGCTCCGACATCAGAAGAGGAAGAGATGAACTCTGACCGTTTCCCGCCACTCCTCACTCCCCCTCCCCAACCCCCCACACTCCCCATCCCATCCCCCTGCCAACCCCTCCGCCCCCACCCCCACTCACCCCCTTCTCAACGCTAGACTTTTTCTAATCACAAGAACCGGGAAGTGACCCTGATCTACAACAAAGATCGGTCCGTATCTCGGACTAAGGACCAACATGAGCTGTTGTTGAGCAGAGAGACTATGTACGGAAAGCCCGGCCAGTCCCAGTCCGTACCCGGGGGTACAGACTTGAGGAAGCCTGGCTCTGTGTGCGTGTGGCGCGTGTGCGTGTGTGGAGGGGGCGGGAAGGGGTGGGGTGGGGTTGTGCGGCAGTGGTCAAAGCGGAGGAACCGTGACAGACTTTTTCGTTCAAGATCCGTCGCCGTTAAATGCCGTTATCTCGGCTCGGAGCGCGGGCGTGGAGAGCGACGGAAATTTTTTATTGCGTTATCGCTGCGTGTGATGTGCTATTCGGCACATCGCACGTTCGGGGTATTTGTTTCGCTCGCGGCCCCCGAAAGCTTTTTTTTTTTGGAACGTTTCCGGACAATTTTTTTTCAAATGTGAATCGTCTTCTTTTTACGACGAGAAGAGAGAGCTCTACGTTTGTTTTCTGGGCGAATTTTTGTGTTATTATTATTATTATTATTATGTCGGATGAAATTTTCAAAGCAAAATAAACTGTGACCGAAGGGGGGGGGGGGAGGGAGAGAGGGAGGGAGGGGGGAGGGAGAGAGGGAGGGGGGGAGAGGGGGTGGGGGAGAGGGGGGAAGAATAAATATATCAACTCGTTATCGAACTCGAGACAGAAAAATAAAACCCCCCCCAAAAAAATCTTCAGTGACTTGAGGGTGATTGTCGTTCAATATTCTGTCAAACCTTTACAGCCTCTCTCTCTCTCTCTCCCCCCCACAAACCGCCCACCCCCCACCCCCACCCCCAGTACCCCAACCCCCCCACCCCCACCCCCTACCCACCCCCCCCTTCACCCACCACCACCTCGAAAGAATTTCCAAAGCGAAATATGACAGTAATAGTACTCATAAACCTGGCATTTGATGCAGCGCCTTATAATCACGTCTTCCAGATCTAATGTAGACGGCGAGAGAGTGAAACGGTTAACCGAGCGAAACCCTCGCGGTGCGAGTGTGCGTACTGCCCGTGTATTCCTAGGCGTGTGCGTGCAGGACGAGACGGGAGCCGTCGCGCGTACTGAGAATGGGTGGATCAGGGTGAGAGGACACGCCATGAGACCGACGCCTGCAGCTTTCACATTCCTCGCCTGTGTACTCACCCTCCTCGTGACACGGGGTCTTACTGCTTTGCAGTCGACAGTGATTATTAACGGTCCTCGCCTTCTCATACGCGTCAAGGAGTCGGCGTAAAGTCCCCGTATTTTCAAGCCGCGGAGAGAGAGAGAGAGAGAGAGAGCAATGATTCCGCGTCCCACAAACAGTCATGGATTGAGTGACCGGGTTTTTAATATTTTTTTTAAGGGCTTATTACCTCCAGTTGATTAACGACCAGGTTGCTACTTATACTGCCGGTAAACGGAAGCGTGGGCTGTAAGGAAACTTGCCCAACATTTCGCCCCGGCCCGCCCGGGAATCAAACCCGGGTCCTCTCGCCTTCCTCTGCCCACCGAGCTGCGGGACTCTTCTCTCCCTCTCACGTCGGGAGAAATGGCCGGTGGATAGAAGCAAAGTGGAGTCCTGTAGCTCAGTGGTTAGAGCACTCGCTTTGCAAGCGAGAGACCTGAGTTCAATCCCAGGCAGAGGGCGAAACCTTGGGCAAGTTTCCTTACCCCACACAGAGCCTAATAATACTCCTCCAAAACCCAAAACAATAATAAATTGGTCATTTTCAATCTACGACTGTTTGTGGGACATTGCTGTGCGCAATTGGCTGCCGCGTTCGCCCACAAATATACAGTCAATTCACTTTACAGTGTGTTCTGTGAAGCGCTTTGGGACGTCCTCCCGACGTGAAAAGCGCCATCTCAAATGCGAGGATTATTATTATTATTATTATTATTAAAGTGAACGATATAAGGGTATTGATTATTGATTAACGACGGCAATTAACAATCAGAGGGAAAGACGGTCAGAGGTCCTTCCGCAGAGCAGAGGATGCGCTCATCAAGAATTACTAACAATATCGTTAATGTAATGATATTATTACTAATCCCAACCCCCCCCCCCCCATCGCTGGGCGATGTGACGCTAACGAGGCTGTTTGTAGGCGATTTGTTGCAGGTCAGAAATTCTGACCCAAGGGTGTGGGGGGTTTTTTTTTGCTGATGTTTCGGAAACGGCTGCATCGTGAAGTGATGGAGTCACAGAATCCCTGAGACCTCTTCCCATAACGCGGTCAGGGCCGCGGAGACGGCGAGGAAACCACCGGGGTATCAGATACTGTTACACTCCACTGCTCTGCTACAGAGAATAAACGTTCAAGGGAGTTGGGGTGCGGGGGGTGTGGGGGGGGGCGGGTGGGGGTGGGGGGGGGGGTGACGCGACTTTGAACACCCTGTACTTTAGCCGTGTGTGTGAGTCAGAGAGAGAGAGTGTGTGTGTGTGTGTGTGAGCGCGCGCGCGTGTGTGAGAGTGTGTGTGTGTGTGTGAGAGTGTGTGTGTGAGAGCGCGTGTGTGAGAGCGCGTGTGTGAGAGTGTGTGTGAGAGTGTGTGTGTGTGTGTGAGAGTGTGTGTGTGAGAGCGCGTGTGTGAGAGCGCGTGTGTGAGAGTGTGTGTGTGAGAGCGCGCGTGTGTGTGAGTGTGTGTGTGTGAGAGTGTGTGTGAGAGCGCGCGTGTGTGTGTGAGTGTGTGTGTGTGAGAGTGTGTGTGTGAGAGTGCGTGTGTGTGAGAGTGTGTGTGTGAGAGTGTGTGTGTGAGAGTGCGTGTGTGTGAGAGTGTGTGTGTGAGAGTGTGTGTGTGTGAGAGTGCGCGTGTGTGTGTGTGTGTGAGAGCGTGTGTGAGCAAGTGTGTGTGAGAGAGAGAGCGTGTGCGTGTGGGAGCATGTGTGTGTGCGTGTGTGTGAGAACGCGCGTGTGCAAGAGTGTGTGTGTGTGAAAGGGGTTAACATGCAGATCAGGGTCCAGTGAGGGTGTGTGTGTGTGTGTGTGTGTGTGCGAGGCCGATAGTGTGGAGTTTTTGCTGAGTGTCAGCTCTGCGTTCGAGAAGATTCAATCTTTTTCTCTCGGAACAATCCGAGGGCTCGAAACAGTGAAACCAAAAGGAATAACACAGAAGCCAATTACCGGACAGTAATTGTGGAACAAAGGCATTCCTTACAGGGGAGAGAGGAGTGGGGGGTGGGGGTGGGGGGGGGGGTGGGGGTGGGCTGTGACTAAAAAGATGTTGAGAGACAGCAGGTGGATGGAAAGAGCTGTGAGTAACGCACTCTAATTGAATGTCTGATGCTTTGGGATCACACACACGCACACGCGCGCGCACACGTACACGCACACGCGCGCGCGCACGCGGGCCGAGATTGCTATTAACCCTTCCAGACACATCACACGGAGAAACGCCTCGTCCGGCCGAAGCAGCGGGAGCTTCGGCGTGCCCACCCTTTCGTCTCGAAATCCAATGAGAGCCGTCGTCCCAATCCTCGCCCTTGGCCGCCGCGCTTCGCCGGCAAAGGAGACAGTCGCCGCACTTCGCGGTGCGTGTCCCTTGAAGCGATTCGCGGCGTCTCGCCGACGTGAGAAGGCGCCGTGTTAAACGCAAGGATGATCATTGCAATTGTTATTATTGCATTCGAAACAGCGCCTTATCGTTGCCGTAAAGTGAATTAACTGTATATTTCTGTCAGCGCTGAGTGTCTGGCGAGGCGAGGTGGGAGAGTGAGAGCATCTGTCACAGTCTGAGCTCAGCTGGCGCTGAATGTAAGTGGAGGTACTGTGTCAGACTGTGCCATATTATTATTAATATTAACAATAATCCTTGTATTTGGGGTATAGCGCCTTACCAGGCTGTTGAGATGCCTCAAAGCGCTATTGAATGCAAAGACTATTATATTACCCGTTAGCTTTCTTTACTAAAAGTAATAAATCTTATCGGGTGAAACATAATTATTGTATTAAGTATTATTGTTCTACATTAAAGGATTATTGCATGAAACATAATTATTATGATTGCGTTAAGCGAAAGATTATTAGGTGATTAGTGTATAATTTCCTTTTGGAATGAATGGACCGGTGACCGAAGGGGAGAGAAATGACAGATTGATCCATGTAATCAATCCCCAGAGAGAGAGAGAGAGAGAGAGAAGGAGGAGGAGGTGGGGATGGGTGGGGGAGAGGAACCTGGATCTGTGCTGCGAGAGGGGAGATTAAGGACAGACCATGGGGGCTGCAGAACCCAGCGATTAGAGCTGATTTGTATTGCTTTTTTGTCAGCAAATTAATTTGTACAAACACACAGACAGACAGAGAGAGAGAGAGAGAGAGAGAGAGACAAAGGTGAGAGGGGCTGATCGCAGGGGTTTAGACAGAAGTCAGAGCCAGACACAGGAAGGAAGCTTTGCTGAATCTATTAACACGGTGACACTGCAGTGTGAGACACCCTCTCTGTCTCTCCGCCGCACGCTGAGACCATCGCAGGCTATCGCTGCCGAGTGCGGCGGCTGCGCGTTTGTTGCAGGCAAATCACACGCAATTTAAACGCGTTCGCGCCTTGAAATGTTTCGCCGCTCGTTTCCTGGCCCCGCAGCTCAGTGGGTGAGAGCCCTCGCCTCGCAAAGCGAGAGGACCCGGGATCTGATCCCTGGTCGGGGCGAAAAGCTTCGGCAAGTTTCCTCACTCCACGCGCGCGCGCACACGCACGCGCACACGCTCACGCACACGCGCCTCTGTTTACCAGCAGTGAGGAACCCGGTTGTTAGTCGATGTCTTTTTTTATACAAGGATTATATTATTATTATCTGGCCCAGGTTGGGAGTTTGAGCTGTATGGGTTGTGTATGCACCGGTATGTGCTGTGTATGTGTTGTGTACGTTCCGATATGTGCTGTGTATGTGTTGCGTATGTTCCAGTATGTGCTGCGTATGTCCTACGTCACACATCCAGAGAGACCGGACACCTCTTTGACAGCACAGGTCATTGGGATGTCCTCCTGACGTGAAAGGCGCTCTATAAATGTAACGTTGTTGTTATTGCTGTTGTCATACGTGCAGCTGCTGTGTGCTCCCGTGTCAGCCGCACACGCACAGGCAAGACACGACTCCCCGGTGACTCACTCGGCAAAAGCAATCAGCCAATTCGCTGGACGGGTCGACAACCCGTGGGCATAAACATGTTGGCTGGGCTTAACCGCTGGCGAGCATGCGTGCACAGACAGGATCATAACACGCGATTGGCAAGCGATCAGAAAGGGAGTATCCTGGCCAAAGGGAGTCCTGCCCCTACCCCTCAACACCCACCCACCCCCATCCCCATCCCCATGGGGTATGGTGTGGGGGATGGCGGGAGTGGGCAACAGACACAAGTGGTGAAACATTTCACACACACACACACACACACACGCGCGCGGCGTCTCCGGCTCAGACAACCAGCCCGGGACAGATGGGGCTTGAAACACTGCATGCAAATCACCAACACAAGCCACACGCAGGCAGACAGGCGCCATCTTATCAAAGCCTCGGAGGTGACGGCTGACAGCTCGCGCGCGCGTGTGCGAGTGTGTGTGCGTGTGTGGGTGCGAGAGGCGAGGGAGGGGGCTGTTTGTGGGCCTGTTGCTCACCCCCCCCCCCCCGCACCCCCCTCGTTGTGGGTGTGGGTGTGTGTGTGTGTGTGTGGGGGTGGGAGGGGGGGTGGGGGGGGGCTCTTGTTATCGACCGCCGCTGACAGTATTGAGGGCGCAGATGGCTGGAATAGAAGAGTTTAAGAGGGGATCAACGTGACATTCAATTGTCACGGAACAGATAATGCGCTTCGAGAACTGGACACTTGTCTCTATAACACCCCCCACCCACCCCCCACCCCTCACCCCCCACCCCACTCACCCCCAACCCCACTCACCCCCCCCACTCACCCCCCAACCCCACTCACCCTCCACCCCCCCCACCCCACTCACCCCCCAACCCCACTCACCCTCCACCCCACTCACCCCCCACCCCCCAACCCCTCACCCTCCACCCCCCCACCCCACTCATCCCCCACCCCCTCACCCTCCACCCCCCACCCCCCACCCCTCCGCACAGTGCTGGAGAGTCAGTCTGAGCTGTGGCCTCAAATATAGTCAGATCGCTCTACGGTAAATTTCAACGACGTGATAAGGCACTGTATCAAACGCTAACGATTGTTATAATATTATTATCAAAGGGATATATCGAGGGATATGGGGCGAAGGCGGGCAATTGGCGTTGAGGTGCAGATCAGCCATGATCTTATAGAATGGCGGAACAGGTTCGAGGGGCTGAATGGCCTCCTCCTGTTCCTGTGTTCCTATGAAAGGTGCTATACAAATGTAGTTTGTTGTTGTTGTTGTTGTTGTTGTTTCTGCGTCTCTCTCTCTCTCTGTTCAACATTGGGTGCGCCATTCCACAGCAGCCCATTAGGTTGGGCGCCCTCCGGTGGCCTCTACTCAAACCTGCGGCCCCGAGCTCAACGGACGCCTGTGTAGTGACTGTGCGCCTGTCGGCAAGAGCGCTTTGGTTTAAAGGCTCCGAGCTCGCCCCTCCCTGTCCAGCCCGCTGGCCGAAGCACTTTGAGACGTCCTCGGAACCTGACGTATAAATGTAAGGTGCGTTATCTTCACATTGAAATTAACATTTTTATTGGCAGAAATAACAATACAGAGAGCAGGTTCAAAGCTCTTTATTGGGAGCGTTACATTAGTGTTAGGCAGCGTAGCGCGTGACTGTTACAATACTCAGGGTGGGGGGGGTGTTAATCGCACTGCGCCTCACCCTGGACATTACTATCAGACACAGGGAGGAAGACCACGTCTTCGGTGCAAGTTTGGAATCTTGTTAGTGAACGGGACAGGGGGAGACGGGTCAGTGGTTAAATTCCGCCCACAAAACACACAGTCACTGCACTTTACAGTCTATCCTGTGAAGCGCTTTGAGACGTCTCGAGGAAGGTGATCAGGCCAGGATTGTTATGCTTTGGTTAGGCTTCACTTCATCTCCAGGCGGCATTCGCGTGCGGAAGCTCTCCAACACGGCGAGTGGGTCGAGCGTGCGATGGGCGTGAGCGCGTGTGAAGGAACGCTCACGGGAGAGGCCGGAGAGACCGTGAGGTGAGGTGGGAGGGGATTCTCAGGGTCTTCCTCGCCCCCCCCCCCCCCCCGGCCGTCCATCAGACACGTGGCGGTTTGGGAGTTCTTTCCCAACCCAACGCCCAATTCACTTCTCCTCGGCCGCGCTGGTGTGGAGTGGCGCTGAGTGAGATCGGGGGTGGGGTTGGGGTGGTGGGGGGGTGGGCAGGGGGGAATTACCCCAGGAGCTGCGAGGGGTGGGAGGGCTCTCGCCTCCATCGCTGCGCTACCCAGCCCACGCTGACATCTTACCCTTCCCAACTGTCTCCTCTTCCCCGAACTTATGACGAACGCCATTTGCATCTGGATGACAAGTGTCGTCTCTAACTCTAAAACTGCAAGCGAGTCTGGCTACCAGCGAGTGTGTGTGGGGTGGGGGGGGAGGGGGGGAGATGGGGGGTGGGGGCTCGGAGGTATGTTCAGGCTCTGGCCCCTGGAATCGCTTCATTGACGACCTGGGGACAGAAACGGTCAGAAATGTAGTGACTCGACCCACCGTGTTTGCGGGAGACGCTGCTGTGCGCAATTGGCTGCCGCGCTTCACCCACAAAATACACAGTCACTACACTTTATAGCCTGTTCTGCGAAGCGCTTTGAGACGATATTAATGGCATGATAAGGCGCTGCATCAAATGCAATGATTATTATTAGTAAATTATTATCATTATTGTTATTATTATCAGCGCCTAAGCTTTCAGCCGCTGCTCTGGAGGTTGTTAGAGGTACCTCATCTACTCCTCAACCAAAATCCGTCCGTCTTGCACCCTCTTTCCCCCCTCCTCCACCCACACCCACACCCCCCCCCCCCACCACCACCCACCTCAAAACTCTTCTACAAATGATTCCTTTGTCCCTGCAAAAGAAGTCCTATATATCTCAGTTTGGTTTGGAGACTCTTCAGCTGGTGATGGGCTTCCCCACGTGTCAGACACCCTATATAAAGGTCTTGTGTGGGAGCAGGTTGTCACTTAGTTCTCATGGGGGGGGGGGGGGCGCGGAGGGTGGAGGAGAGGAGGGAAGTGGGGAGATACACACCTGGCCGACCACCTCCTCATCCCTGGTCTCGATGGTCTTGATCATGATGTTCTTGCGGACATGAGTGTCCGGCAATGACCGGCTCTCCAAGTTAGTCTCTGAGCAAACAACAGAAAACTAATTTCAGGGAATCACAGTGAGACCTGCACCAGCCTTCCGTGACGAGGAGACACAGTAACGCTCCCTCTACACTGTGCGTCCACACTCCCAGGTCAGGGTTAGAGACACAGTAAAGCTCCTCTACACTGTGTGTCCACACTCCCAGGTCAGGGTTAGAGACACAGTAAGCTCCTCTACACTGTGCGTCCACACTCCCAGGTCAGGGTTAGGGACACAGTAAAGCTCCTCTACACTGTGTGTCCACACTCCCAGGTCAGGGTTAGAGACACAGTAAAGCTCCTCTACACTGTGCGTCTCCACACTCCCAGGTCAGGGTTAGAGACACAGTAAAGCTCCTCTACACTGTGCGTCCACACTCCCAGGTCAGGGTTAGAGACACAGTAAAGGAATGTCCTGAAGGAGTATAGCAGGAGCAGCATAAATCTCCATTACAATGTCTCTGAATAAACCCCAGGGGAGCGCTGAGGCTGGTCGGTCGCTGCCATTTCTCACCTCGGATGTTCATGGAGGTGAAACTCTGGACCGGGATCGCGATTCTGCGAATAAACCAAAGATTTGTGGCACAAATCAGACATCGGCAAACTCCCAACATCCGCAACATCGGAAACTCCCAACGATGCAGCTCTCTCTCTCTCTCTCTCTCTCTCCCTCTTTCCCCCCAGTGCTGTGCTGGAGTGTTGGCCGAGGCGGTGGGCTCAAAGCCCCCGACGTGGGGCCGAGAGAGAGTGAGCGTGCGCGAGCGACTGAGACCTCGTAACCCTTTCACCCATCTCAGTCGGATTGCTGGTCGATTGACGGACCGCTTCCCGGAGGTCACAATCCCATTGCTGTGGTCACTTTCACTGTTGGCGGGACATCGTTGTGCGCAATTGGTGGCCATGTTTTCGCCCGCACAATACACAGTCACGAGACTTTGGTTCCCCCAACCCCCTCTCCCCACCCCCCTCCCCCCTCGGTTACCGGCTCTCCTCGCCCTCCAGCAGCTTCCTGTAGGTGGTGATCTCGATGTCCAGGGCCAGCTTGACGTTGAGCAGCTCCTGATAGGCCTGTAGGTGGCGAGCCATGTCCTCCTTCAGCCTCTGGATCTCGTCCTCCAGGTGGGCGATGGTGTCCTGTGAGCTGCCGCTCTCGAAGGCAAATCTCTCCTCCAGCTCCCGCAACTGACGCTCCAGAGACTCGTTCTGTCCGGGTGGGGCGGGGAGGAGAAGGGGGTGAGGGGTTGGGGAGGGGGTGTTGGGGGGGGGGGAGGAGGGTGGGGGAACACATCACATTACACGGCGCCTTTCATGTCAGGGAGGACGTCAGGGATTTGGACCCGAGCCGGGTGAACGAGAGCCATCGTGGCCGCGGTTACTACACCAGCCGTAGACCACCGGCTCCAGAACGGAGGAACGGAGGGCCAGGAGGAGGCCATTCAGCCCCACCGAGCCTGTCCCGCCGTTCTGTTAGATCGTGGCTGACCTGTACCCGGACATGGAAGAAAAAAGACACCGCCCGAGGGGAGGGGGGAGGGGGGGGGGGGGCGAGAGGGCTGTCAGGCGCTGGTCACAAAGCGCGACGGAACGCACGGCGTCCGGCACAGACTCACCGTTCCCTTCAGACCCTCCAGGTCACAGGTCAGGGACTGGATTTGCCGTCGGTAATCGTTCATCTCCTGCTTGGCCTGGCGCAGCGCCTCCCCCTGGCGAGTGCCCGCCTCCGTCAGGTCAGCAAACTGCAGCGAGGGGTCCAACACACGCGGGTCAAACCTCGGCCCAACCGAGGTGTCTCTCCCACCCCTCCCCCTCCCTCCCTCAACCTTGCACCTCCCCCACCCTGCCACCAGCCCTGCCCCCAACTCCAGCCCCTTCCCCACCCTCCCCGTCCCCAACCCCTTCCCCCACCTTCGACTTGTACCACTCCTCAGCCTCCTGGAGGTTTTTGGTGGCCACGGTCTCGTACTGCGAGCGGATGTCCTTGAGGGCGGCCGTCAGGTCAGGTTTGCCCATGTCCAGCTCCACGTGGACCTGCTGCAGCTGCAGTTGCTCTTGGAGACTTCGCAGCTCCTGCGGTCAGAAGCCAGCCATGTTAGCGAGGGGTCAACTTAGCGGTGGCGGGCGGGTGGGCGGTGGGGTGGGCGGCCGGTAGGGGCTGAGGGAGGGAGGAGGGGCTGAGCGAGGGGCAGGGGGAGACCTTACCTCATCGTGGACCTTCTTTAGGAAGTCGATCTCCTCCAGCAATGACTCGATTTTACGCTCAAGATCCATCCGGGCCAACGCGGCATCATCGACATCCTGGGCAGCGAGAGAGAGAGAGAGAGAGAGCGCGCGAGAAAGAGTGTGTGAGAGTGAGAGAAAGAGAGAGACTGAAAGGGAGAGTGAGAGAGTGTCTCACACACGACGCACTCTGGTCTCCTACCTGTCTGAAGGCGACCAGGTTGTTCTCAGCCTCTGTCCTGAGGGTGATCTCGTCCTGTAACCTGAGAGAGAGAAAGAGAGAGAGAGAGAGAGAGAGCAGAGTGGGTCACACAAGCCTGTCAGGAGCTTGTAGATGTTCTCCTGACATGAGAGGCCATGAATCTGATGTAGAGATTATTATTAGTATATTAATAATAACTGGGAGTGTGGTGGTGGGTTTCCCTGTGGAGCTAAGTCAGTGAATATCTGAGGCGAATGTTTGGACATTGTTGGGATGAGATGGAATTGGGGTTGGGGGTTGGCGGATTGAGATGTGGGGTGGGTGGGGGGGGGGGTCAGGGATTGCCTACTTCTGTTGGAGCTTGTTCCTGTCCTCCAGCAGGCTGTCTCTCTCGATCTCCAGCCGGGCTCGGGCTGCGTTGAGGAGGTCTATCTGCCTGCGGAGCTCCCTGATCTCATCCAGGAACATGTCTCCCACCCGGCTGGGCTCCTTGCCTTTGAGCTGGCTGAGCTCGGTCATCAGCATCTTGTTCTGGTTCTCCAGGAAGCGGACCTTCTCGATGTAGCTGGCGAAACGGTCGTTCAGCTCCATCATCTCGAACTTCTCGTTGGTCCTCGTCTCCTTGAACTCCGCATTCATGGCGTCGGCCAGAGAGAAGTCCAGCTTCTCCTGGAAGCCCCCGATGCTCCGGCCGGGGATGTTGATGCTTTTCAGCCTCATCGAGGAGCTCCGGGAAGGCACGGAGAAAGTCGGGAAAACTGACCTGGGGAGAGAAAAACAAAAAGCAGCGGCGGGGAATCAAACTCAACGTTTAACTTTCGATCAACTCCAAACGCGATTCTCTGAGGCTCAAGAATAATTCTGTGGTCCCTGTGGTCCCTGTGGTCCCTGTGGTCTCTGTGGTCCCTGTGGTCTCTGTGGTCCCTGGGGTCTCTGGGGTCTCTGGGGTCCCTGGGGTCTCTGGGGTCCCTGGGGTCCTTAGGGGTTAGTGATCTTCCTCGCAAGCAACAGGACCTGGGCTTGATTCCCAAGTGGGTCGGGGCGAAACCTTAGTTTTCTTACTCTACGCACACGCACACACACACGCACACGCACCTCTGTTTACCCGGCAGTAAGTCAGTCGATTGACGCATTCGCTTTCCGGGGGTAATAACCCCCCCCCAACAACCAAAAACATGCTGTCGCTCAATCCGCGACTGTTCGCCGGACGCCGCTGCGCGCAATCGGCTGTCGAGCTTCGCCCCGCGCAAATAACACGGTCACTACACTTCCCGATATATTCTGTGAAGCCCCCCCCCCGTAAGAGTGCAATGTTCCTGCGTTCCTTTGGATGGCACCATTTCGTTACGAATCACTCAGAAAGTTTATAGCCCAGAAACTTGTGTCTGTGCTGGGGCTCGCTCCCCTACAGGAGCTCTCTACTCCAACCCCATTCCCTGCGCTCTCTCTCTCTCTCTCTCTCTCTCTCTCTCCCCATCGTGTCTGTGCTGGGGCTCGCTCCCCCTCTCCCCCCCCAACTGGAGCTCTCTACTCTAACCCCATTCCCTGCGCTCTCTCTCTCTCTCTCTCTCTCCCCCCGTCGTGTCTGTGCCGGGGCTCTCTTCCCTTCCCACTGGAGCTCTCAACTCCAATCTCTCCGGGGCGCCACATTGGGCGTGTTGAGGACAGGGGCTCTCACGGACGGACGCGGGTCGAGGGTGGGGGCAGCGTTGGGGGGAGGGGATGGTGGGGGGTGGCAGGGCAGGGCAGGGCAGGGTGGGGGTGCGCGAGCCCTGATACCTGCTGCTCAGCGAGTAGCGAGAGTTGGAGGCTCGGATCCCTGCGGCGTTGGGACCGAAACGCTTCCTGTAGGAAGACGTCTGGGTGTTGTCGAAGTTCAGGCTCATCGCGACTCTCGTCTCGTCTCGTCTCGTCCGTAGAGGCTACAAAATCGAAGTCTCGGAATGTGTTTCTCTGTCTCTCGCTCTCTCCCCGTTTATATAGAGAGGTCCACCTGCCCACGGAGTGATGCTGGGTCCTAGTGCCTGTCAACACTATCCCACCCCCCCCCCCCCCCCACCCCACACCCCACACCCCCACCGCCACGTCACACTGTCCAGTCCTGGACTCTGGGCTGCGCTATAATCTCTGGCTGTCTTGTTCACACAGAAACCCTTTGCGGCAACCGCTCAGCGGTTAGAGCTCTCGCCTCGCAAGCGAGAGGACCCGGGTTCGGTTCCCGGGCGGGTCGGGGGGAAATCTTTAGCAAGTTTCCTTACTCCACACTCACACACTCACACACACACTCACACACACACTCACACACACACACACCCCTCTGTTTGCCCAACAGTAAGTTGGAAACCGGTTGTTCGTCGATTGTCGGATGGTTTCTCCAGGGGTAATAATCCCTTCAAAGAAAATAATATTGATAAATTAGTCCCTCGACCCACGGCTGTTTGCGGGGACGTAATTGGCCGCCGCGTTTCGCCCACAAACTATACAGTCAATTAACTTTACACTATATTCTGTGAAGCGCTTTGAGACGTCTCGAAGACGTGATAAGACGCTGTATCAAATGCAAAGATTATTATTATTATTAGAACCTAACCCAGGGCTTGGGGTGGGAGGATATATATATATATAGACTAACACCCCCCCCCCAGGAAGGGAGTTACAGGCTGGGATCTAATGTAGAGGTTCAGGAAGGGTGGGGCGGGGGTGGGGTGGGTTATAGGATGTGTTATTTATTCCAATCCACATAGGAGAATGTCTTGTAGCAATTCACAGCCTCGGAGGGGAGATTATTAATAATAATCCTGGCATTTGGTACGGCGCCTGATCACGTCTTCGAGACGTCTCAAAGCGCTTCACGGGATACACGGTCATGTGAATTGACTGTGTATTTTACGGGCGAAACTCGGCGGCCGACTGCGCACAGCGGCGATCCCGCAAACAGTCGCGGGTTGAGTGACCAAATTATTATTATCTATTTATTTATTCACTTAGTTACTTATTTTTTGCGTGAGAGATTGTTACCCCCCCAGAAAGCGATCGGCCAATCACTCGCTCGCTCGCTCGCTCAAAAGCCTCTAAGCAATCAATTACAACGTTGAAGGCAGAAATCAAGAGGTCCCTTTGATTTTATTTATATCCACGTAAAACTTTGCTCCTCTATCCCTTTGATGTGAGTCCCAGACAAGAGAGGCGAGAGGGCAGGCGGGGAGGACAGAGTTATGGGTCCAGCCCAGAATATACGAGGAACTGAGACCAGAGAGAGGGAGGGAGAGAGAGGGAACGAGAGAACAAGAGAACGAGAGAGAGAGAGAGAGAGAGAGATGACTGGCCTGGACTGAGATGATTATAGATGATCGTGGTTTCGTCCGCCCCACACAGCACTAGGCAACGCTCTCTCTCTCTCTCTCTCTTTCTCTCTCACTAGTAACTGGTGCCAGATTCCACGTTCACTCCACCCTCGAGCTATTTATACTGTGTTTTTCAGAGTGTTTTGGGGATTTGACAACTCGCTAAGCGCAGCCCTTGATCTTTGAAGCCATCTTTTCCCCCCCCCGGCCCCCCCCCACTTCGAGAAAGGGCCTCTCCCGACTCCCCGTCGCCGTCCAGCACTTTGAGACAGTCACCCACGCAGAAAAATAATGGTAATATTAATTATAAATCGCCGGCGAATTTGACACACGGCGCCTCATCACGTCGTCGAGACGTCTCAAAGCGCTTCGCAGAATATGACTGTAAATAGTTTGTGGGCGAAAGGCGGCAGCCGATCGCGCACAGCGTCCCCCCACCCCCCCCCCCCCCCACACACAAGCAGTCCGTGGATTGAGCGACCAAATTGTTATTATTTATTTTGAAAAGGGGTTATTACCCCCTGGAAAAACGATCCGCCAATAGACTAACGACCGGGTCCCTACTCACCGCTAGAAAACAGAGGCGTGTGGAGGAAGGAAACTTGTCTAAGGTTTGGCCCTCCCTCCCTGCGCGGGAATCGCACCCCGGGGTGGGGTGGGGTGGGGGGGGGGGGTGGAGAGCGAGAGAAGATGGCGTGAGGGGGATGGGGAGGGTCCAGTCAGGGCGCTCTGTGTGATGAGAAGACCCGTTCTCTGCTCCCCTGAGACAAAGCCATTGAACAGATCAGTCTCCGGCTCTCACGCTCGCGTTGCTCGGACAGAACTTTTTACTGCGGTTCGTGTTGAAGCGAAGGAGCCAAACCCGAGATCAACACAGCCATAAAGCGGGCATTAAAACAGGGGGTGAGTCAGCCTGGCACACAACTTCAATGCCCCCGCCCGCCCGCCCCCCGCCCGCCAGCACTGGGAATCAGCAGCCCCCCCCCCCGTGACTGTTAATCACTGCTATTCTATGGCAGCTTATACACAGGCTGTGTGACAAAGGCTGCACACACACACACACACCTAATACACACACTAATAACACACACACACTAATACACACACTAATACACACACACACTAATACACACACTAATACACACACTATTACACACACACACACTAATACACACACTATTACACACATACACACACACACTAATACACACACTAATACACACACACACACTAATACACACACACACACACTAATACACACACTAATACACACACACAAATACACACACACACACACTAATACACACACACACGGACTAATACCCACACACCCTAATACCCACACAGCCTAATACACACACACACACACACTAATACACACACACACACTAATACACACATATACTAATACACACACACACTAATACACACATACACTAAGACACACACACATTCACAGATATACACTCACAAGCAAAGGTGCGGTCAAGCAGATCGGTCTCAGACGGGTTCTGAAAGCAAATGCAGCGACCGTTATTATTTTTTCTTATTCGTTAGTTATTTTTTATTATTATTTATATCACGTTTGAAACTTTGAAACTTTGCGGACGGACGGACGGACGGACGTGTTTGGACGGAGGAGACTGGGCGCCGGGTGTTTAATAATAAACTTGCAACCAGGAGGATCAGAACGGTCAACAAACAAATGTCCAGAGAAGGCCTGAGCATGGAGAAAGGTGTGGGGTGGCGTGGGGGGGCATTCCCCCACTCCCTCGCCCCCCCTCCCCACCTCACCCCCCCCCCCACCTCACCCCCCCCCCCACCTCACCCCCCGCCCGTCAGTAAAATGTCAGCAACGTGAGTGAAAGGGACGATTACAGTGGAGCAGCCCTCGGTATGAGCTGCTGACTCAGTCCGTGCGCTCATGCAACTCAACCCGACATTGTCCTGTAACTGGAAGCTCACTCCATGTCTCCCCCTCTCTCTCTCTCTCTCTCTCTCTCTCGCTCGCTTTCAGCCTCTCTTGTTCTCTTCTCATTCTCTTTCTTTCTCTCTCTCTCTCTCTCTCTCGCTTTCATTCTGCGGTGTCCTGCAGCTCAGCGTTTCTCACACAAAGCGCGCGCTCGCGTCGCAAGCGAGAGGACCCGGGTTCGATTCCCGGACAGGGAGAGACCTCGGGCGCGTTTCCTTGCTCCGCGCGCCTCTGCCCGACCAGCAGTAAGCAGGAACCCACTTGTTAGTCGATTGGTGGGCGGCTTTTCCGGGGGCTAATCCCTTCAAAACAATATGTAATGCTTTCGATATACGTTTGATAAAGCGCCTTATTATGTCTTCGAGACGTCTCAAAGCGCTGCGCAGCGTATGCTGCAAAGCGAATTGACTGCATATTTTGTGGGTGAAACGCGGCGGCCGATTGCGCACGGCAGCGTCTCCCACAAACAGCCGGGGATTGAGAGACCAAATTATTATTATTATTATTATTATTGTGACCGGTAAATGCCAGGCAGGGGCTGAGAGCTCAGGACGGGCTCAGGAGCCGACAGTTTTCTGTAGAAATCACACAAAAGCCCCTTTGTGTTCCCTGTTCAATGGAGGCGCAGAGTAAATGGGATTCCCACCCACTGTCCTCCCCTCACGGCCTCAGTCTCAGTCTCTAACGAACCAGAACAGGGCAACACCAGGTAAGCGCAGCGGCTCAGCCATTCCCAACAACAAGAAGGACAACGGGTGACATTTACACAGCGCCTTTCACGTCAGGAAGACATCCCAAGGCGTTGGGACAGTCAAGGACTGTCGTTGGACCTGAGCCGGGGGTTGGGATCAGGCGGGCGTTAAAAAGATCTCCCTGGTGGTCACGGCACGACTGGTCAGCGAGAGGACCCGGGTTCAATTCCCGGGCGGGGCAAAGCCTTAGGCAAGTTTCTTTACGGCACACGTGCGCCTCTGTCTACCAGTAGTAAGTGGGAACCCGCTTGTTAGTCGATCGGCGGATCGATTTCCGGGGGTAAATAATCCCTTCGGAAAAGAAAAATAACGTGGTCTCTCGATCCACGACTGTTCTGTGGGGACGTCGTCGCTGCGCGCAATCGGCTTTGGCCCATAAAACGCACCAGTCACTCCGCTTTACAACGTACCCTGTGAAGCGCTTTGAGACGTCTCTCGGCGACGTGGTAAGGGGCGATATCAAACGAAAGGATTATTATTGGGGGCCCTTTACAGTAAATCCCGTGAAGAGCTTTGAGATGTCCTTGGATGGGGGAGGGTTTGGGGGCTGTGGGGGGGTGTGGAGGGGAGACAGAGAGGGACAGCTGGCACTCGCTCAACAGTCTCCCACTGAACACAGACAAATAAAGGACATTGCAAGTTACCTCATGGTTCTGTAGTGTATAAAGGGTCCATTCAACTGCTCGGAGGTCATTGGCATCTGTGTTTCTCTCACAGTCAGTCTGAAAAGGACGAAAGCTCAATTCAGACCTGATTTACCTCACAAAGCCCAGAGAGGGGAACACTTGATTGTTTTAATGAACGCGACCCCCCCCCCTCACCCGCCCGCCCGCCCCTCAATGGCTCTGCAACCCCCACCCCCCCCCCACTCCCCACTCCCACGCACGCCAGAGCCCCCTCGGCTCCTCTTTGCAAACCACGGATTCTTTTTCCGCACATCAAAGGCTTCCTTTCTGATTCATTTTATTTAAAGGAAGAAACTCAAAGCGTTTTGATGGGGTTCGAGTCAATGGAAAGTAAGGGATTGAGATTCCGGGCACGGTGAGGCGCGGTGGGGTGGGGGCGGAGGGGGGGGGGTGGGGTAGAGAGGCCTTCGAGAGGTAAGATGTCCATTGTACAGAGGAACCAAAGGGCAAAGGACACAACATCTCCTCTTAAATTAGTCTCAGTGGCTCAACGCTGAGAGACAGAGGGAGAGAGAGAGAGAGGCTGAGAGAGAGAGAGAGAGAGAGCCTCAAATTCTGCCCAGTCCCAGCCTGCGACCACCCCCCCGCTTTGCCTTCCGAGCAACGATGACTTCAATTCATTTCAATAACAACGCCAAAAAAGAATCCTGACGCGGCGCCCGATATCACGCCTCCGAGACGTCTCGAAGCGCTTCGCGGGGCCACGGGCACCAGTGGAGTGACTGGGCGTCGGGTGTGTAAGGAACCACGGGGGAAGCGGAAGACAGTACCCGCCAAACCCTGTTGGGATATGTTCTGCGCGGAAACCCCTCCCCGTGAGCCCAAGCGCTGTCCCTGGGCCGCCAGGCGCTGGGCCGCGAGCACTCGCTGGTGACTGACATGTTTTGCTCTGCGGGTCTTCCTGTTACCTTTCCCTCCCCGCGGGAGGGGCAGCGCCAACCGGTCACCGGGGACGTGGGACGGCGGCAGGTCATGGCTTGGTACACACTGTCCGCGCACACTTACACACGCACTCGCTCGCTCGCTCGCTCACTCACGCACGCACGCACTCACACACGCACTCACTCACTCACTCGCTCACTCACTCACTCACTCACTCGCTCGCTCACTCACACGCACTCACTCACTCACTCACTCACGCACGCACGCACGCACGCACGCACTCACTCACTCACTCACTCGCTCGCTCGCTCACTCACTCACTCGCTCGCTCGCTCGCACGCACTCACTCACTCACACGCACTCACTCACTCACTCACGCACGCACGCACGCACTCACACACTCGCTCGCTCGCACTCACTCACTCACTCACTCACTCACTCACTCACTCACTCACTCACTCAGACGCAAGCACTCACACACGCACTCACTCACTCACACACGCACTCACTCACACACGCACTCACTCACACACGCACTCACTCACACACGCACTCACTCACTCACACACGCACTCACTCACACACGCACTCACTCACACACGCACTCACTCACACACGCACACACGCACTCACACACGCACTCACTCGTACTCACACACACTCACTCACTCACACATGCACTCACACACACTCACTCAGACACTCACTCACACACACTGGGATGGGTTGGGTGTTTGGGGGAATCTGGACTGACAACTAACTAACTAACTGCACAAAGCTACACCCCCCCCCACCCCCCCCCCACCGACCCCCTCCTGTGCTCGGCTTCACTACTGCTCCATTGCACTGATTGCCTCAGTGTGACCGGCGCAGAGAAACTGCTCTTGTTCCAGAGGGTCAAAAGAGGAGAGTCGTGCAGGAGGCAAGACTGGTCCTTCAACATGTGTGTGTGTGTCCGCGTTTGTGTGTGTTTGTGTTTGTGTGTGTGTGATTGCCTGTGTGCGTGTTTGCGTGCATGTTTGTGTCCGCGTTTATGTGTCTGTGATTGTGTGTGTGTGTGACGTGGCTGTGTGTGTGTGTGTGTGTCTGTGTGACATGGCTGTGTGTGTGTGTGTGTGTGTCTGTGTGACATGGCTGTGTGTGTGACATGGCTGTATGTGTGTGTGTGTGTGTGTGTGCGTATTGGATGGCGGATTCGCCTGCAGAGCAATACATGACGAAAGTGCATTTGCGTAGCCCCCTTTCACGTCGGGAGGACGTCCCGAAGCCGCCGACAGGAGACGCGGTCACTACAGCGGACAGCGGCGCCCGTGAGGCGCTGTGAGACCTTTGACGTTGCAAAGGTTGGAGAGAACGGGAACGTGCGAAGGTTAACGGACCCTCAGGGTCAGGGATTAGTATTGAGGATGTTTTCGGCGCTGCCTCCGGGGGCCGGTGAGACAGACGTGTGTCGTCTCCTGTTGGTGGATTATTGCACCTACAGCAGAGCATCACGAAACCTCCCTCACTGTCCGCAATCAGAGCCCACAGTCACTGACTGACCTGCGTTAGACAGGGGAGCGCGCGTGTGTGTGCGCGTGTGTGTGTGTGCGTGTGTGTGTTTGTGCATGTGTGTGTGTGCGCGTGCGTGTGTGTGTTTGTGCGTGTATATTTGTGTGTGTGTTTGTGTGTGTGTGTTTGTGTATGTGTGTGTGTTTGTGTATGTGTGTGTTTGTGTATGTATGTGTGTGTGTGTGTGTTTGTTTGTGTGTGCGTATGTGTGCTTGTTTATGTGTGTTTGTGTATGTGTGTGTGTGTGTTTGTGTATGTGTGTGTATATGTATGTGTGCTTGTTTGTGTGTGTTTGTGTGTGTATATGTGTGTGTGTTTGTTTGTGTGTGCTTTTCTCTGTGTGTGTGTTTGTGTGTGTTTTTCTATGTGTGTGTGTTTGTGTGTGTTTCACCCTCTGAAGGGCTTTGCGACGACTCGACGACGGGATAAGGCGCCGTATCAACTGCCGGGATTATTATTCTTATCGTTAGGTTAAGTGCATCGCTGGCGCTTTGGAGAGTTCAAACCCTAAACAGTGCGTCAGATAGTCCAGTAAGGGGGCAGCAAAGCTCTTTAAATGACTTTCTCCCCCCCCCACCCCCCCCCCCCACAATTAAACGGGAACAGCCACTGACAGACACCCTCCTGGAAACGGAAGGAGAAAGGAGCTGCTCTGAGAGTGAGAGAGGAGAGCGAGAGAGTGCGTGAGGGAGAGAGAGTGTGAGTGAGAGAGAGAGAGGGAGAGGATCTTGTGAATAAATCGGGGCTGATTCTCAGGCTGGGGGGGGAGGTGGTGGATGGGTGCGGGGGGGGGGGCGGTTGGGGGGGTGGCGGGGGGTGTATAGGAAGGCTGCGGAGCTAACAGTAAGAGGATGTGACAAGTGAACCCCTCTCCCCCCCTCCCTCTCTCTCTCTCTCTCCCTCGCCCTCTCCGAGCTGCAGCCTCCAACGTAGACTCAGTTATAACGAAGGTCTGAGTTTGAGCGTTAACCTCGGCTTCAAATGCCGGGAGGTTTGGCTCTTTGTAGATATGGTTTAATTGGCTTGGAGGGTTGGCAGGGACGGACCCTGACCTGCCCTCCCTCCCCCCCCCTCCCCACCTCCTCCCCCCCACCCCCCCCAGACGGATGCCGAACACACGCGCGCACATCTCTGAGCCAGTGACCCACATCACATCGCGCTCAGTCACTGGACCCGGGCTCGCCGTCCCCATCCAAAGGCCTCCGTGCCTTTGATTTAACGCCTGATCACGTCTTCGAGACGCCTCAAAGCTCTTCGCAGGACACACGATGGAACGAGGGATACGTTTGGCCCACAGAACGCACAGTCACTACGCTTCACGGTGTAAGCTGACAAGCGCTTTGAGTCGGCTCAAGGGCCCGATGAGGCGCTGTATCAAATGGAGGGATTAGCATCGTACAGCAAAGTTAATTGACTGTGTTCTGCGGGTGAAACATATCCCTCGTTCCAGGCGGATAAACCCACATCGGTGATAATTAACCCCAACTCCATCAATCCTTTCATCGTCTCGATTCTAAACGGACACCGGAACGGGTTCAACCCAGCAATCGCCTTCATCTAATTAGACAATTATTTGTGATTAATGTCTCCGCAGCCATTAAACCGTCAAAGCGAAAAGATACGACTGATCTGCCGTCACCAATAATAATAATAATAATAATAATAATAATAAACCTGACGTTTTATACCGCACTTTATCGCGTCTTCGAGACGTCTCAAAGCGCTTCGCACGATACAGTGTAAAGTGAATTGACTGTAGAGTTCGTGGGCGAAACGCGGCAGCCGATTGCGCACAGCGGCGTCCCCACAAACAGCCGTGGATCGAAGTGACCACATTCTTTCTTAAAAGGGATTATTACCCCCTTTGCCTAAGGTTCCGCCCTGGCCGGGCATCGAACCCAGGTCCTCTCGCTCGCAAAGCAAGTGCTCTGTCAATACGCTACAGTGATAAGGCGCCACATCAAATGCAAGGATTATTATTATTATTATTATTATTATTTATGAGTGATGTTTCTACGCTGACTGCCGTCTTCTCTCACTCTCGCTCAGTCAGTCACGTCTCTTTGCAACTCCGGCTCTTAGTGCGGCTCTTGATTAGATATCAACTTCGTTAGTTTTTTTTCCCCCCTTTCAAAAGCCATTAATCAACAGTGTATTGGCTGCTTCAGCTGGAAATCGATGTCACTTTTCCACCGCAAATCCACGGGGAAGGAAACTGAACACCAAACGCCTCTCTCTGGTCTCAAGCCTCGACGGTCACTTGCTAATGTCACTCTCACGCCCTCTCGGCCTCTGCTCGTCAACCCTGGGGCGTCAACCCGTGTGCGGGCGCGGGTGTGCGGGCGCGCGTGTGTGCGTGTGTGTGTGCGCGCGTATAAAGAACGGGGCTGAAAATGCCATGTTTGCTAAACTCTGGGCTAACTGCGATTTCCCCCCCCCACCCGTGTGTGCGTGTGTGTGTGTGTGCGTGTGTGCGTGTGTATGTGTGTGCGTGTGTGTGTCTGTGGTGTGTGTGTGCGTGTGTGTGTGTGCGTGTGTGTGTGTGTCTGTGTGTGTGTGTGTGTGTCTGTGTGCGTGTGTGTGTGCGCGTGTGTCTGTATGTGTGTGCGTGTGTGTGTGTGCGTGTGTGTCTGTGTGTGTGTGTGTGTGTGTGTGCGTGTGTCTCCTCGTTGCGATTCTCTTTTGCAGTATTTTCT